GGAGGAGGAGGAGGAGGAGGAGGAGGAGGAGCAGGAGGAGGAGGAGAAGGAGGAGGAGCAGGAGGGCAGGAGTGGCAGAGGAAAGAGGAAGAAAGTGGAGGACCTGGACAAACTGACTCCCTCTGTAAGTGCCGGCTTGTTCTTCAGATTTGATGAGAACACAGTGGATGACGAATCCCTCCTCACCTTTCTGACCCCTCAGTTAATGGAGGTGGGAGCTCTGCTGGCTCTGATGATCGGCAGCAGCGCGGAGGACTGTCAGCTCTGCTTGTTCAGCTACTCCAACTGTGCAGAGGTGGAGCTGAAGTCCGACGTCCTCCTGGAGAACGTCCGAAGTGTTGTGAAGCAGGCAGAGGTCAGGATGCCGCTGTTTCAGGGGGTTCATCTTGGAATTTGAAATAATCTGTTTCTATTTTTGTTGTCATTATGTGTAATTAACTCTCGTTTCTCACAGACATTTACCGATCTTTCAGACGACAATCAAGACAACAGTTTCTTTCTCAGAATGTTCTCAAAGAAAAACAAAGTGAGCTTAAAATACTTTTCTGGTTTATTTTGTAAATGTTGCTTGTTTTATTAAATTTTTTGCTTGCTGCTAAACAATGTATGGTATTTGTTAGGTACATTTAACTGAGGATTTAACATGATTTTATTTCTTAGGTGGACAACATCATTGTGGTGTCTGACTACGACTCCACTTCTAACATAGGCTGGAACATCCAAACCTACAAGAAGGATGTGAACAACAAAGCCCTGGTGGTTGAAATCAACTTGGAGCGGTGATACTCCTCATTTTATACTCTATCATTGATCTGATATAAAGCTTTGGTTAGATATCCATGCCAACAGCCTGAACTTTTCCTTTTCCTTGTTGTCCTGCAGGACTAATCAGAAGGAAATAAAAGACAGGAACTGGGTGTTTCTAGGAGGGATGAGTGAGCAAATCCTGAGGTGAAGCTTTACCTGACTGTTCCTTCGCCACCAAAATCACTGATGATGGTGTCTGTTAGGAAATCATTACAAGTAGTATAACAATCTTTTGAGGAGTGCGATTATCATAATTTTTTCCTAGACTGTTTGTAGGTAGCAAAATATATGTTTGCAAAGTTTTTAGATTACAAAACTAATCAGACTAAGAATAAGTTTTACCTCTTTTCCGGGTTTTGTAGACTTAACCTAAAAAATAAAGCTACACTATCTAGTTGGTATTAAAGTGTGCAGAAATAGGATTAAAGCTAAAGAATTTATGTACAACAATTCAAGTAGAAGGTCAGATTGGTGTTTATAGTTAGATTTTAGTTTCTTCACCATTAGTAAAAATATGCTTCGACATTTCAAAGCGCTTTGGGCTCAAAGTGTTCATCTTATTGTAAACAGGAAAATGCCCTAATCACTAAATGGAACAACTGTGTTTTTTCAATGTGTCAAATGTTTCCCCTGATATGTGTGACCAGGTTTGTGGCTGAGCGGGGATCTTCCAGACTTCTGGATCACGTGGAGAACTTGGACAGGTTATACAACATCCCACCACCAGAGGGCGCTAAAGCCCCACAGTCCCAAAACAGCCTTCTTTCAATACCAGACAGCCCCAAATTAAGGTAAATGTAACAGTAAAGAAGCAGATCTGAAGTGTCTTCTTTATGCCTCCGCTTTTTAAAAAAAAGTTTTGAATATTCTTCATGCTATTTTCCATCCTGTTCACGTGCTGTAATGGATCAAATCAAGCTCAAAGGGATTCGGAAACCAACAGAAAAGGAAACCCAAATATAATCCACCTCCTTGTAATCCAGTTTGTCTTCCGGTTTAACCCCCGCTGCTTCCTCTGTCTTCAGGTGGCGAGGTGTGCGGGTGTTCATCTCCTCCACCTTCAGAGACATGCACGCTGAGCGGGACGTCTTGGTGCAGAGCGTCTTCCCAGAGCTCCGCCGCCGCGCCGCTCCGCACGGCCTCTACCTCCAGGAGGTGGAGCTGCGCTGGGGGGTGACGGAGGAGGAGTCGGAGAGAGCCACGGAGCTGTGTTTGTCGGAAGTGTGTCGCAGCCAGATGTTGGTGGGGATTCTGGGGCAGAGGTACGGGCAGGTGCCCCCCAGACCGGTCCTCCCCGACCTGCCGCAGTACAACTGGGTATGATTTCTAAAATGGATTGAATTGGGGGCAATTTAGTAGTGTTAATCAGGCGTTTTCATTTAGAAAATCTTTATGTGTACCATTCTTAGTAAAATCAACACAACAACAACACAACAACTGGTCTCTGGACCAGTTAAATAAATAATCCCCAGAGTCTGGTTGTACATGGTCCATTGAAAATTATCCATTTTAAAGCTCTGCATCCAGATGTTTTGTCTGGATCAGATAAAGGGGAAATAAGCGATTACTAAGTGACAAAATGCCTGGTAGTGTGCATGTGATTGAATGGAAAGCTGAACTAATGGCGTTGCTCTGAATGTGCAGCTGGACAAAGCCCCAGCACACCTGTCCATCACAGAAATGGAGATCCGTCAGTTCCAGGCGCTTTACCCGGATACGGTGCACCAGCGAATGCTCTGCTACTTCCGAGATCCGAACATTGTCAAGTAATCAACTCAAACCCGTCAAACTGATCCACTGTGGCAGAAGCTGTGAGTCAGCTTTTAACCCCGTTTCCCCCGATGGCTGCAGATCGGTCCCTGTGGCCTGGAGGTCACATTTTGCTGCCGAGTCAAAGGAAGCAGAGGATAAAATGATGGCGTTGAAGAAAAGACTTGTGGACAGTGAAGTCAAAGTAACTCAAAAGTGAGTCATCTCACCACATTTCTGCAGGCTGGGAATAATTCACTGAACTTTTCAAAGACTCCCTTCTTTAAATAGTTTTACCCACATTATTTAAAAAGCTTTAGCCGAGTCTGTGTGTCCTTCTGCTTTAGCTACTCGTGTGAGTGGGGAGGCGTTGTGGAAGGGAAGCCGTATCTAAAAAACCTGGAGGAGTTTGGGAAGGCAGCCCTGGAGGACCTTTGGGTGGCTGTTAAGAAGCTGTTTGTAGAAGTCAGTGACTCTGTCAAATCTGTCATCACTCAGTTAAACCACCTATTTTTACAAAAATGTTTATCCTCAGCTTGTGTTCAATGAGTTTTGCTCTCCTTCAACAGGAGGGAGCGGAGGCTGAGGCCGCGTCGGAGGTGTTGGAGCAGGAGCTCCACCAGGGGGCGCTGGAGAGGCAGTTCTTCGGCAGGGCCAAGCTGCTGTCGGGTGCCGTGGAGATGGTGCAGCAGACCCACGTCAAGGGGGGGACGGTGGTGATAGAGGGAGCATCAGGAGAGGGCAAAACCGTCTTCATGGTAAAGTCAGGCCCTCTAATTGCTCATTTTATGGAGAAGAGAAACGTGTGTCCGAGGCAACCAGCCTCACTATTTACGTTAAAGTTTCCATTTTGACTGTTGATAGCTGCTGACTAAATGTTTATTTCAGAAGAAAATAAACATTTTCCTCTCCAAACAGGCTGCTCTTGCAGATGCCCTCAGAACCGGTTTTAAGTCCAGGAAAGATCTCAAGTTTGACGTCATCTCCTACTCGACTGCTGCCAGCCAGTCGGCGCACTCTGTGGGAAACCTCCTGCGCTGCGTCCTTCAGTGGCTGAGGAAGAGGAAACCCACAGAGGAGCCGCCGCCTCTCCCCCACTCCCACAGGTGGGGCTTCTCCTTCATTTAGTCTCTGCTTCAGCCTGTTTTTTTTTTCCTGTTTGTGTGATGGAACCTTTGTCATCTCAGAGACCTGCTGTCAGAATTCAACTCCCTGCTGAGCGGAGTGGAGAGGAGCTCGCCGCTGGTGCTGCTGGTGGACGGCGTGGATCTGGTCCGGGATGGCAGAGGACAGCTCAGCTCCGACTGGATCCCACAGCAGCTCCCACCGGTCAGCCACAGAAAAATTATTAAAATCTCATCTGTTCGATAGAGTTGGCCCACATTTAGAGTAAATGGATACATAAAAAAGCCATATTTAATTAAATTTTTGTTATTTTATGTTATCATTATTCAACATATTTACAGTGGATCGTGTTTTAGTTATATTTCTAATAATTATTTTATAGTTATTTTATTTGTATATATACTTTTTTATGGTAATATGCCAGAGTCATCCCTTATGAGTCTGTCTTCGTGTTGAACCCCATTGAAACTCTTTTTTTGTGGGTCAGGGTGTGTGTTTGGTTCTCAGCATCTCGTCCAAAGCAGCTCTGCTGCAAACTCTGGCCAAGAGAAAAGGGACCGTCCTGTATTCGCTGGGACAGCTCACCATGCCGGACAGGAAGGAGATCGTTCAGAGGGAACTGGACGCCTTTGGGAAGAAACTCAGTGACTCTGCCTTCAACAACCAGGTTCCACTGATGGTCCCCCGTCAGAGACTCTTAAATGTCTCCAGAGTGTGTGTCCTTACGCAGAAACTCTCTTGTGTGTGCAGCTCCAGACATTAATCACAAAGAAGGGAGCAGCGAGTCCTCTGTATCTCCACCTGGCCTGTGACGACCTGAGGAGCTTTGCCTCCTTTGACAAGGTGTGAGCTCAAATTTTTAACCTCTTCAACAGGGTTTTGTGTGTTTCTCCACGTTGACTGATAATGCTCCTATCATAGGAGATAGGAGTTGAGAGATTAGATGATATTTGAGGCTGTGTTGAATTTAAATGGTTTGAATGTGCTCCACCTTTGTGTCCCAGTTGAAGGAGAGCCTGCAGGGCTTACCTCAGTCTCTGAGCCAGCTGGTCCACCACAGCCTGGAGAGACTCTGCTCGCAGCACAGAGGCATGATGGGACTCCGCTGGGCTCTGGCTGCTCTCACTGTCAGCGCCACCGGTGAGACGGGTCGAGGTTTTATGGGCTTTCAGTTTCATTTTAGTGGGACTGAGTATTAAAGAGGGATTCAGGCATAAGCCACAACATTAAATCCATTAACGGTCGAAGTGAGGAACATTGTCCATCCTGTACTGATGCTTTTTGAAACACCGATTCGTAACAAGCTAGTAATTAAGATTTTGATTTGACTTTTCATGTTGACTCAGTTTGACATTTCCCTTTTTTTCCTCTTTTTTTAGGCCTGAAGGAAAGAGACTTGTACTCTGTTCTGAATACGTGCAATCAGCTGTCTGTACAGGGCAGACAGGTCACCTGGCAGGAAGCGCTGCAGCTGTCCAGGAAGCCCGGAGCCCGCATTCCCATGGCCACTTTCACCCACGTAGTTCAGAATTTACAAAGGTATGAATCAGCTGCGATGGTAAAGTGTTAGTCAGAGGAAAGCTGACTTTTTTTTCCATTAATGTTAACATTAAGAAACATTTTTTTTTCCTCTGGGATGGATTCCCTTTGATCAGTCAAGCTGCCTCACACCTGTTTTCACAGGTCACTCAGTTTGAGCACAATTAGCAATGAAAAGCTCATTTCTTCTATGCTAAAACTTCCTGGTTTTCTCTGCAGTCTGATTGGTCCGTCTCATTGCCACGACACCGATGACCTGCTGCTTCTCAGTAATCCGGACGTACAGCGAGCCTTTGAGGATTCCCTCCTCCCGACCGAGGCAGACAAAACCAGAGCTCATCTCATACTGGCAGGTAGAGTAAATATGATTCATTTTATATTCTTATGAGCATGAATGTCTCTATTTTTACAATCTTCTTTGCTTAACAGCTCATCTGTGGGCGATGGCTGACCCTCTGGGAGAAGATACCTTCCTTCACTGTGAGGCCAACTCAGTCATGGCCCTGCCCTCCAGCCTGGTTGGGAATCTTCCATCATTTAGAATATAGACATTTATGTTTGTTCATTTAGCTCAGAATTTTCTTTGTTTGTCGACTGATTTGAAATCGTATATTGTTCAGGATCATTTTCCACATGTTTAGATTAAACCTGCTACTTTTAACATTTGCTGCGGGTTTGACATTGATCTTCTGATAGATTCAAAGTGGACAACTGGAGGCACTTCATTCCCTGCTCTCCAACTATTATTTCCTGTATGCTGGCGTGAGCCACGGGCTCGTGCACCACCTCATGGAGACGTACAGCCTGTATGGTGAGCATGCAAAGCTCTAAAAGATGATTTTAAGATGAACTTTGTCTTTAATCCTTCATGTCAGTTTCTTTATATCTGTATTTATGTAAGCATTCTTGCTGAGGCAGATTCACTGATTAGTTTTGTCTCTATCTTTCCTGCAGATAAGGAGCAAACATCTGCGCCCTGGCGTAAGTCACCGAAACACTGGAAAAGCAGATTTTTTTTTCCATGTGCGTCTTATTTTTGATGTCACTGTCGTTCAACACAGTTGGGCTCCAGGGCCTTCTTGAAGACTGTCGTGGCTTCCTGAGGCGCCACGCCTCCACGCTCGCTGCCTGGCCGGCTCTTTTCATTCAGCAGGCTTTCAATGAGCCTCCGGAGACCTCCGCCCACACCTGGGCTGAAGCCCTGGTGGGAAAAGGAGGAGCCCCAGTGGTTCAGTGTCTTAACAACAACACGGTTGTTCAAGAAGTCAGGTGAGCAGGTAATCCTCAAGAGAGACTTCAGGTAGGCCTCAGCAGTGGAGGAATTTCTACTGTTTGTCAGCTTAGCATCAGTTCTTTAAGAACGCCCCCTTCCCAGTCAAAGACTTCCTGCAAAAAAATTGTTTAAGCATCTGAATGACTAAAAAAATCAGGCCACAGAATGACACTGTGGCCTTGAGTGTATTTTATATTCCATGTGAGAGTCCACAGTGTTATGCTGACAGTCTGTTGCGTTTCTCCTTAGTGAGCTGGTGTCCACCTTCCCGTCGGAGCCCACCTGCGTGGCGGTGAGCTCGGACCAGCAGATGGTGGTGGTCGGTACGGGAGGGGGGACGCTGCACGTCATCCACGCACAGACTGGACAGGTTTGTTTTCCTTCATCATATCAAATTTGGTCAGACTAGATCTGGTTCTCAGTATTTGTACGTGACAGTTTAGTTATCTGACTTCATCAGACATCTAGTGCTTTTCACTCCCTGCCTCCATTTTTAATGGAGAACCGCTCAAATAAGCTTATAAAAAAAACTTAGCTCTCTTACCATCTATTGTCTGAAATAGAGAAACAAGGTTTCCTAAATAAGAAAACAAATCGAAGTGTTGATTACCGCAGTTTCAGAATTTTTAAAGAAACTGGTGATATCCTCTCTTTCCTTTCTGGGAGCAGGAATTGAAGTTGTTGGTGAGCAGCTGTGACGGCATCTCCAGCTGTGTTTTTCTGAAGGATGCGTGCCTCGCTTCCACATCTTTTGATGGCCGAATCGAAGTCTGGGACACTGAGAGTGGATGCAGGTGAGAGGAGAATTTAAAGAATTTGTGAAGTAGCGGTTTGGCCGACGCTGCAAATGGCGCTTTGCTGATGTGTTCGCTGTCTTTGTAGGACGGCTCTGATTGAGGGACACACTAACACAATCACAGCAGCTGGCATCACTCCAGACAGGAAGCACCTCGCCACCGTGTCCCTGGACTTCATGCTTAAAGTTGGTCTCAAACAGTTCCCTTCACATCGCTATCTGTTACTTTAGCTTTTTATTACTCCATAAACCAAACCTCAGAAACCTCAGTGGCTGCTTCTATCCTTCCCTTTATTATTCAAGCTCTGAAAATCAAACAAATTTAGTGCTTACTGCAGCTTTGAACGACAAAGAGATGATTTAGTGAGCGATGACCCCATCAAACCGTTTGCAGCAAGATGCTGATTTGCCATAATTGAGCTAAAACCAGACCAAAAACATATTTTTCTCCGACTGATGAGATATTTTCTGCTCAGGTGTGGACTTCTAATAAAGGTAACGAAGTGGCCTCGCTGCCCAGCACCAGTCCTATGAACTGTGTGACCTTTGACCCCACGGGTCACCTGCTGGCCGCTGGCTGCTGGAACGGAAAGGTCATCGTCTGGAACTGGCTCCAGAATAACGAGTCAACGGTGAGTTTTCTTCTCTGGCCCGGGGACTATCCCAGCTCACAGGGACGCACACAGACAAACAACCACGCACACATTCATCCCCACGGCTAATTTAGTCACTTATAAACAACGTGCATGTTCTGGATAGTGGGAGGAACAAAAGTACTCAGAGGGAACAAACACAAACACAGGGAGCAACGTACAACCAAAGGAAACTCACTTCAGACGCAGACTACTTTTTAAAAAAATGAAAAGCTATTGCGGGAACCCATTTAGTTTGGTTTCTGTCTCCTCAGGCCCTGTGCGGCCATCTGCGATCGGTGCGCAGCCTCTGCTTCTTCCCCTCCTCCCCCCTGCTCTGCTCCGGCTCCGTGTCCGGGGAGGTGCGGGTGTGGTCCGTGCCCACCTCCACCTGTGTGGGATGCTTCCAGGCTCACTGCGGAGCTGCAGACGCCCTCGCCTTCCTGGAGGAAGGAGCCATGCTTCTGAGCGCCGGCTCGGATCACACGGTGAGGTTCATCCCGTTCTGCTTCTGATAAAACTCTGACAACAGTATGGGCGTTTGGGGTGTTCCGACTTAAACAGCCTCTCTGTATTCTGTTTTTGGGAAACAGCTTCAGCTCTGGTCTGGAGGACTCGGACGTTCTGTGGCTGTGATAAAAAGTGATGATGTAAGTCCCTGTGAATCTTTGGAGCACGCTGGCACCAAACAGCACTTGTCATTTTGTGGTATAGTCTATTCTTTCAATGTGGCATCACACTCAGTCCTAGTGTCAACTTTAGAGTCTCTAATTAACTCATTTTATTTTTTACCAAGTGGTACAAAAATAAGCTCAGTGGCTTTAACTGATATGTTTCCCATCTCTTTATTAATAAAGTATTAGTATGAATATCTTGGTCAGTTTGCACTCTTTGACATCAGAGTTCAAATTATATCTGGCAGCTAAGTTGGTTTCAGGACATAGTACCAATTATTAAGTCATGCATTTTTCATGTTTCTAAATCAAAAACAGATTTGGAACTCATGTCAGAGGCTGCCACTTACACCAGAGGGATGCGTTTTCTTATCTTCCTAAATCCTAAATTAACTTAATCAAAATCGCCTGACTACAGCTGTCGGTTTTTACATAATTTATTCTGAGATCAGTATACCATCATGGTGGGGTGTCATTTTGAACATGCTGAGAGGAAAAGGTTTTTCCTCAAAGGTTCACTTTTATTCACTCCATTCTCTTTATTTTTCTGTTTTCAGGGCGACCGGGAGCCTCCTCTCAAAAAGACGAAGTTTTCCTCGCCGGAGCCCGCCGCCCTCTGCGTGGCTGTGAATGGAGACCACGCCGCTGTGGGTTACCACGGAGACGGCATCAGGCTCTTCAGCCTCCACTCAGGTGGGTTTGTGGGGATGGTGATGGAATTAAGTCTGACAGGAGAAATACAGATGAAAACTAAGAGAAAAGTAAAATGGGATGATGATGGAATTTGCCTGCCGAAATACGATCTGATTTGATTCAGAAGCTCTGTGTAGTTGTTACTTTTCTACTCTAAATAAAATTATTTTTCTTTGTAATTTAATGACAGATTTAAAGTTAAAACTGTTTATGAGCAGATTTTCCATCCGGTTTTTCTCCTTTGTGTTCAGAGAGCAGAAGTTTACATTTGATTAACCTTTAAACACGTCTGGTTTTAATGGTAGGCGTACAGATCTGGGCCTCCGGGGACCTGGCCGTTTCGGTGGGCTGCCTGCTGTGGATCACTGTGGACACAGAGCAGGTTGAGCTGGAGCTGCTGGTGTCTGGAGGGACTGACAAGCGTCTGAGGGTGTGGAAGAGAAAAGAGGGGGACGATGGGCTGATGGGAGACCTGATCTGTATGCGAGTGTTTGGGGTGCAAAGTGGCGCCATCCTGGCTCTGGCTCAGAACGCCACCTACCTGGCAACTGGCTCAGGTGAGAACTTTTTTCTTCGTCACTTTGCTCGAAACCCCAAAAAGAAAGAACTTTTTTGCATCCTTAGAAAGTATTTTTATATACAGATTTACTACTTAACAGAGGAGTTTTTGTAATGATCACTTTGACCACAAGAGGACGAGCTGAGCCCCAGCGGCTGGTGGGGAACCCATCCAGTCCAGTTGAGAGAGAAAATTTATTTGAAAAAGTTTGAATGTTTTTTTTTATGTCAGAGTTATTTTTTTTTATTGTAACCTTTTCATATTTTTACGATTTGTTTCTTGAATTAGATGACTTCACCGTCGTGCTGTGGTTGCTGAGCGATCTGACCCGTGAGTGTGCGACCGACCAACACGCCGTGCTGAGGGGCCACAAAGGAGGCGTCACCTGTCTGGCTTTCAGCCCCGATGGGGCCCAGCTTTTGTCTGGAGGAAAAGATAAGGTACCTACACCACCTACATCATCAAGAAATATGCTGATTATTCTCTCAATAAATCTATTAAACAGCATATATTTCTGTCCAAAGACCAGAGTTAAAACCCGTCTAATTAGCGTTTATAGATAATTTAACCAAAAGGTAGTAAATCATTTTGTGGAGAAACTTCAAATGGCATGTGGGCTCATAAAATTGTAAACCCACTTTTTTCCTGTAGTTTTAGCCCAGCTCTGATTATATATTTGTTCTTCAAAACACGGATCGTTTCAGGCTCTGATGGTTTGGGATGTGGGTTCGTCTCCTCCTGCTGTTTCCAAGTCGCTCCCTCATGCTCACAGAGACTGGATCACAGGCTGCGTTTGGACTCCAGACTGTGTGGTGGGTCTTTAATGTCACATAGAAATGTAAAACCCAGAGAAAATGATCTGAAAGAGGTTACATCTAAGGAGAATTTCTCTGATCTCTGCTTTACCTTCCAGATAAGCTCTTCGAATGATGGGAGGCTTTGTTTGTGGGACCTGGTGGCAGATCAGTGTCTCAGAGAAATCTCCTGGAGGAGTCAACTCACCTCTGTCTGCTGTCTGGTGAGAAAATCCTGGAAATATCTGTCGAAAATAGTCGAAATGATACTTTCTTCTTTAGTTATTTTTAAACAATGCTCATGTGTATGTTTGGAGTAGTGATGTTTGCTTTATCTGCACAGAGGCTCGTCCTCATTTAGCCTGGAAAGTGGAAACGTTAAATAAATCATATTCTATAAACTATAAGAGAAATACAGAAGACTGCAATTAATTTTACCTTTAATCATCTGATGCATTGAAGGATTTAAGTATCTCCAGAATAGTTTAAAATGTACTGAGATTTGGGCTCTGTGAGGTTTGATGTAAGCTGGATAAAGTGCGTTGACGCATCTGATTGAAGGGGAAGCACGTAATTGCCGGCTGCTCAGAGGGAGAGCTTCATGTTTGGAACTGGGAAACCAGCACAGAGATCTGCCACATCTCTGCCCACAAGCAGCGCGTGGAGCACTGCTCTCTGCTCCCAGACACCGGTAGGAAACCTCACCCATAGTCCTCCTCCTCTTTCACAGGTCACGATAAATGCTATCAGCCTTATTTAGAGTTCTGGACTTTGTGTTTTTAAACCCTTACTTTGTTTTTAAGACAAGAAGAAGGAAGTGAAGCCAGAGGAAATGAGTGTTTTCACAGCGTCTGAGGATGGCACCGTGAGGCTCTGGAAGCCCTTACAGGTGTGTAAAGCCCGGCCACGATTTATGGCTGACGTTACCCCGGGAGCTTTGCAGGCTTTCTCTGACTCGGATCCAGCTCAGATTTGTGCTCCCTTGCGTCCAGGTGGAGCACCTCTGCACCTTCCAGGGTCACAGCGGAGCCGTTCACGGGGTCACTCTAAAGAAAGGAGTCCCAGAGTTCCTCACGGTGTCCGAGGACCGCTCTCTCCGGTGCTGGACCTGGACGACAGGTAGAAACCATCCCCGCTGTATCAGCGGGTGAATGCAGATATAGGCATGGTTTTCTGTTCAGCCCTGGGATCTAACGTCAGAAAAACCGACTGAATTCTTCCCTTTCTGCTCAGAGAGCTCTTCAGACCTGAGGAGCTCCATCTCAGCTTTGTGCTTCTCTCATTCCGGTGACTTGCTGCTGGCTGGTTATGAATCCGGTCTGCTGGAGCTATGGCAGCATAACGAAGTAGTCGGCTTCAAGCAGGTGAAGAAATCCATTGTTTCGTAACGCTTTCAGAGCCACCTGAACTCTTCTGTTTGCTACTTTCTGCTATCGTGTAGATGAGGATTGATTATCAAACATGTGGACGGGCCACAAATCTGTGTCTGTCGTTCAGGCATCGGCCAGCCCCATCCTAGCAGTCTGCCCCATGCCTGGCGGTCAGTTCGCCGTCAGCTACATGAACAACATGGTGGTCGATGTGTGGAAGGTGGTCTGGAACCGGCAACGCAGCAGAGCCAGGTAAACGTACATCTACTCACTGTGGAGCTCTTCAGTGTGTCATCTTAAAGAGTCCGACGATCTAAACGTATTCGCTCTAGTCAGTCTTGATTTATGATCACCACCGGCACGCTGTCTTCTTGTTCAGTGGTTTGAACTATAAAATGGATATTTGCTTTTCAGTCATTTGGAGAAAATAACTTAACTCAAAAGGGTTGTTAGTCTTATTTCTACCTGCTCATTCGTAATGCTTCAAAGACAAGTATTTTGAATGATGGCTCGAGTCCTGAAATGCATCTAGACGAGATAGGAGGAAGGAAATCAACGTCCTCCATAGACGCAGGTCTAAAGAGGCACTTAATCTGCATTAAAGGCTCATCTTTGGCTGTCCTAAACTCCCGACACCTTACACAGGAGGGCCTTAAGATGGGCACAGAGGGGTCGAACTCAAGTGGCTGTTATGAGGGATGGATTGGCAGTGTGTTTCTCTGTTGTGTCTGTGCCTCCAGTCTGGTGAAGCTCATCTCATACTCGGTGAAGTACTCAATGGTGCGCCTCTTCTACTGCTCGCTGCTGATCGGCTTGAGCGACGTTGGAGCACTTTATCTTATCAAGACTTATGACGAGGAGAGCAGTTGGCAAGATTCAAACTCTGAGTAAGTTTTTAGCTTTGTCGTTACCACAGTCAGTAATGGAGCCCTCTGCTCATCGGCTTAGCATGCTCAGCTCAGACTTTTCACTGTCAAAACCGACATGTTTCGTTAAGGTTACGGCATGGAATTAAGCAGCTGAAAATGAGCCCCAGATCTCAGAGCAGAGCGAGTAATTTCCAGTTTTGTGATGTAATGTTTCCCTTGTTTTCAGCTGGGAAAATGAGGTGGTAATTCGAGGGGTGATCAGTAATGACGAGAAGAGCGTGTGGCTGGTGGGGAATTCAGACAAAGACATCCACGTCGGCTTCATGGTGAGGTTGACCCTCGTCTTTTCAGTGCTGCGTTACACCCACAAAAGAGCCACGATATTCGAGATAACAGAAAATATCAAGACTTTTCGTATAAATGAAATGTAGAACCAAATTGTATGCTAGATTAGGAAGCAGCAATGTACAGGGCTGTAAAATAGCATTTTACTTTGTGTTTGGCTTTCAACACGTGATGCTTTAATCGTAGTTTATAAATAAGAATGATATACATTGTTAAGCTTTTTAAAGGGACATGGTCAGTGGAGGACAGAAATGTTGTGGCTGATTTATTTATTTACGTATTTATTTTTTAAAGGTGAAATCCTTTTGATAGTTTTCATTTAAAAACTATTCTCAGACATATTTATTCTACATCATTGTTTTTTCTCATGGATTAATCTACTTGACTTGATACAACAAATATTAGAACTAATTCAAAGCAGACAAACCTAAATTTGATGACAAAGTCTGTAATTTACAAACAAAGCAGGCAAAGAGGTTTAATCTGTTAAAAGGCTTTGATTAGTTGTTTTTCGTCGATTTAATTACAATTTAGTATCTTGAGGGTTTTTATTGAGAGATAACTGCCGTTTATTAAACTGAACTCTCTTTTCAGTTTGCATTAGGCAGAGAAACTAGCATCTATTCAGCTTTCAGCAGAGTGACCATGAAGTGCGGAGAGGACGAGCAGAACAGAAGCTTTATAACAGCTGTAACTTTGGACAAAGGTACAAATCACATCTGGAGCCAACTGCATGTTATTTTGAATTTGAGTTGTATTGATCAAATTTCCTCAGAATAATAAAAACAGCAGCAATCCCTCATATAGCCGGCTGATATCGGCTTTAAAAGCAACTTAATTGATGAATCAATCGTGTGTGCACTGTTTAAGCTGATGGTGTGTTTCAGACTTTGTGGTGTGTGGAGACATGGACGGAAACATGTGGTTCAATCAGGATCCAGACATCTCCTCATGGAGCAAAAGAAAACCTGTAAGAGCCCAGAATATTGTCTGCTGATATTTAACCGAATAAGTAATTCTATGTAATAACAAAATAACAGAAAGTGTCCAAAGAGCTCAACTCATCTACATTATTTAGCAGAAAGTGGCTGCAATGTCCTAGCAGGATGTAGAAAAAATAAATTTGACTGTCTGAGGTGTTTACATTGATGTTTTGTCGTCAGGCTCACACTGACAGAATCAGCGAGCTGAGACTCACAGAAAGCACCATCATCTCCGCCTCCTACGACCGCACCGTGAAGCTGTGGGACAGAAATACCAAGAAACAGGTAAACCTGACGCTTTTCTTCATTAGATGGATGCATTTGATCTTCTGAGCCTGAATTCTCTTTTATAATGATTGGACTAAATAATGTTTTCTCCAAGCAAACAGTGCAAATGCCAGAAAGAGACAGTGGATTAACAAATGTGTATCAACCTGCAGTTGAAAATAGTTCCCAAGGAATTTAAAATGACTTGCCCATATCTGTGATCTCTACTGAAATGTTTTGTCCTGCATAGGAACAGATGGGTTTTAAATTGAGTACCACAGAAATGCTTTTCATATCTTTTTTAAAAACCCAAAAAATTACGGCCACAGAACATCAAGTGGTTAATTCTTTAATCTAGGGATGGTTTGATTTGTCTTTATTTGGTAAACACCTTTTCTCTCTCTATCTCTTTTAGCTGGGAATGTATGTGTGCGGAGGCCCAGTTCAGATTCTGGAGGTGAACCCACTAAAACCCACAGAGCTGGTTTGTGTTGATGGACAGGGGAAGCTTTACTTCCTCTGCTGGAAACAGTAGCCCTTCCTTTATTACACCCTATAGCCTGAATGGAAATATACCTCATTATCATTGCATGTACCAACGATTGTATGAGATAGTTTTTGTTTTATTGTTTTTTTTTCATTTATTAAAAGCAATAATGTGTTTAAAAGGGAATCCGGGGCCCAGATTTATGAGGATTTTTGTTTTTACAGGTGCCTTATTTTAGGTTATGTGAAATGTTTGATTCAGAAAGTGTTCAAAGTAATGTACACTTCAAATATCGTGCAATATTATTATTTTTTAAATTTTTCAAGCATGAAATGGCAAAAAATCAGAGAGAGGAATGAATGATTTCTTTCCCCTGTCCTTTTCCCAATAAATTTGGTTAAAACTCTCTTGCTTCACTTTGTATATTCTCACACTTTTTGTCTTGTATATTTCTGCTTGATAAAAATTTAATACAGAGGTACAAAAAAAACTTTGTCTATGATAAAAGAAAGTACTGGATCTTATGGTGATATGAGGGACATTAGAGCTACCCAAGAGCTACATTTCAAACGATAAACTTTAAGTTAGCATGTGAAAGATTAACACCTCATGCCAGCTGTCATCATAACGGAGGAGGCCGATGATTTTGGCTGGTTATGCAGCCATAGGAATTAGTCAACTCTCACTCACTGAGTCCAGACCTCAGCCTGACTGAAACATTGGCAGGAATTCAATAAATGTAGATGGAAACCTAAAATCTCATCTGTGCCAGACTGATAAGATCAAATAGAAAACAATTACTTCTGGTTTTTGGTTCCAGGAAGTTAGGTTTTGGGTATATTGAATCAAGAAATTTTAAGCAACACCTCTGTTTTTTAGCTCAGATATGATCAGATTCCAAAGTTGCATTTACCTGATTTTAACCTTGTAAAACTAATATATAATTAAGTAATGTCCTGATCTTTTAAGTTTGTAAACTGACAGAGAGTGTACTTCTCTCTTCAGGTATAAGTTTTCATTAAAAGAACAGACGGTGTTTCACTAGAGTTTTATCTCTTATGACTGAAACAGTGTTTAACAAAGGCAACAGAAAGAAATCTGTCCGGTCAAGACAATAATTTTTACTATGGTAATATTCCTAACCTTTCATTTTATTCCAAGTTTTTCAAAGAGCGACAATTTGTGATTACAGTGGAAAATTATATTTCAAAAGTCAACTATTTAATCAATTCTGTTTTAACCACTCTTTGGATAGAAAATGTAAAACATATTGAATAATTATTTAACGCTTTGGTAAATGCTAATTATAAGAATACAAATATACAAATAATGCATGAAAGCTGACTATTGTGGAAGCAAAGTAGCTTTAACTTCAGCATCTTTTTAAAGTATGTATCAAACACGCGTGTCTAATGGACCAGAGTACTGAACGCCTCTTCTCAACGGCAACAAGGAAGTTTGGGTTTCCGAGTGGCACTTGAACGGAGCAGTGAAGTGATCCTCAGCTTCCAGGTGAGACCGACACGCCCCCACCTGGACCTCCGCGCGCAGGTGAACGAGAGAGAACGGGACGAGCTGGTTTTTCATACCGCCAGCCTCACGTCAAAAACAGGATTTGCGTTCGAGCTCCGACCTCAAGTCTGTGTCCTTTTTAAAACGTTTATATTTATTTATTTTCAGAGGAGGGACAACATCAAACTACACAGACAAGAGTGAAAATTACCGACGGTGTCAACACGGGGAGAACTCTTATTCAGCCCTGAAACGTTTGTATCTCTCCTCGAAAGGCTGAAAAACTACGTTAAACGTCAGTGAGCAGCCGGCCGAATGGTGAGTTAACGGTCAGATTTGAAAACGAACGGCTAACGTTCGACAAGACGAACGTTAGCCGGTGAAAATTTGGATTATTGGTGCTTTTAAACATCTGTTAATCTATAAAATGGCTGTTTTGACAGGATCGATACGACAACTTGGATTTGGAGTGTGATGGAGATGGAGGAAACGTCGCAGTGAGTAACTTCAGCTAACTTTTTAGTGTTTTCTCGTTTGTTTTGATCCTGAAGTCGATTAATAGCTGCTTTGGTCCACCCCTTGAGTGACAGAGCAGAGGCGTCTTAATTCCACATTTCCCCCCTCAAACACAGCGGATAATCCCTTTAAACTGCAACTATGGGCTCTAATCGGGGACGTGTGTCACCATGGCTCCATACTTCCAGGTGTACTGTCATCCAGAGTGTATTTAACGCTGCTGGGGGCTCAAAAACGCTGCGTTACACTGTGAGCTTGTGCTTACATAACAAGGCAATCCAACAGATAGTTAGAATAATCTGATTTTGGCTGTAGTTTTTTTAAATTTCTTGCCGCTTGTACATGACTTGGGGCCTCTTGTTTTGACTTATTTTGCCTTGTTTTTGGTAGTTTTGTGTCCCATATTGGTAATGAAATTGCAAATTTTCTGATAACTTGAAGCTAATCTGTGCATTCCTGCTTATTTCGTGTCCCGTATGGTGGTCTTAGACCATTTTTGCCTCATTTGAATGGTTTTAAACCTGTTTTTGACTATTTGATGCCACCTTTTTGTTTTTGTCATTATGCTATTCTATCCAGTCTTTGCTAGTCTAAAAGGGATGGTCTGTATAAAGGACCAAGGTTCACAAACTGATTTAAGAAATCATGTCTGACTCCTAAATCACATCTCGCTTTTCAGTGACTTGAAAATTACCTACAAATAGGAGAAGTAAAAATGATTATTTAACTGTATAATGCCGACAAAATGCTGAAACTTCCATATTGTCTGAGGTAAAAAATCATTAGTATGTTTGTGATCTTTCAAAGGATTTTTCAAAGAGGCCGCACAGTTATTTTTGCTCTGAGCTATAAATATAAGGTCATTCTAAATGAACACGATCAAGTCGTCAAGATCAGACATGAAACCAGCTTCAAGTACGGACTTGAAATTGGACATGAGGACGAGCTCTGTGATGTGAGCTGGAAAATGTATCATGTCATCTTTATATTCATGTGTGAATTGTTAAACTCTCTGCATCCTTTTCAGCCCACACCAGTAAGCCATAGGCTATCACATCACCAAAGTGTTTTTTTTTCTAATTTCATGTTAATAATTGGAGTGTTCTTCTTTTTTCTTTTCATTCAGCAAAAGACGGCTTTATTTGGTGGGATTTTCAAGAAGTCTTCCAAAAATTCAGAACCATCTCTCAAAGCACAGGTTAATTTTTCCGTATTTCTGTCCTTTTACCTTTTTGATTTCCCTTTGACCTACAAACTTCACACAACGTACTAGTCTCACTTATTTATCACTTATCTCATTGTTTATTTGTATTGTCTTCTGTACACTTCCAGAAATGGGCACAAACCCTTTAAAATCATATTCTCCATCAATTGACACAAGCTTTGCGTTGCCTCCGCAGGACAATTTCTCTGTAAACGGAGATCTTTCAAATGGAGACGACAGCCTGGCTGAAGCAAACCCCAGCAGGGTGAGCAGCATAACACTGCATTATTTCTGATTAACGTCTGATCAAATCAGAGTGTGACGTTGTTAATCCTCCAGGACAAAGGAGGAGTGCTGAAAGGGATGTTTAAGAAGACAAACAAATCTTCCCCAGAGGATGAGCCACAGGTTTGTAGTTAACTGACCGGACTCTCTCCCAAACTACCATTTATTTATGAAAGACTGCAAAAGTAACAGAGACAAATAAAACAGCTTTACAAGGCTGTAGTTGGAGTTTTTTTAATAACCATTTATGATTAAATTAATTCATTTGATTTAATTAAATTAAATTCTTGTCTCTAGATGAATCAGTGAGGACCTGCTGTTGTGTTCTGCTGTATAAAAATGTGCTTCTCAATGTGTGTGTGTGTGTGTGTCAGCTTGCTTTTCACAAACAAACAAAACCTTTTTTTCGTTACAAATAAATGTGATTCATTTATTTAGATAGTGTTTGCCGCTAATAGTAAAACAACATGAAATCTTCATTGTGCCGACAGGCGAACGCGCCGTCTCTAAATCCTGAACTGTCCGCCAGTAGCGACAGCTTAACAGACAACAAAGCGTCAAAAGTGAGTCCTCTGTCCTCTCTGTTATGTGTGTTTGTTTTGTTTACGTGTGTCATTTTGTTGTGAAATCGAACTGCGTTCTGTGCTTTTCTCTGGAGGACAAGTCGAGCCTCTTTGGTGGGATACTGAAACGATCCCCTCGACCGGGACATGCGCGCCGGCCCTCCCAGGTGAAACGTCCTCCTCTGTCCTGCATCCTCCCAGTGGGACCTGCTGAGATATACAGCTCACAGCATCAGCTGTTTAATAAACGATTTAATGTTTGCTCACTCGACCTTTTCTGTTTGTGCTTCAGGACCTTTTGGAGCTCTCAGCCAGCAGCGACAGTCTGTCTGACAACACAAAGGTGAGTCACCCTTAAGGGGTCGTGTTGACCAAGAGATCTTTGTTTTCAACATCCTTTTTCCACGGATAACTAATGAAACCACAGTGCATCAGTGGGACGAGGAACTCGAAAGAGGATTTCTGTGGAAAGTTTGCATCTGACGAATGACATTTGTGTATGAGGCCCGTGTTGCTCAGTGAGAGGGCCGTCATGGCCTCGGCCTCCGCAGCTCAGTAGCTGCTCCGGTCGCTGAGTGGACAGTTTTTGTTTTATGTGCCTGTTAGCTAGAGTGAGCACAAACCTGCACGACTCAGCTGTTTCATATGCGCTGGCACACACGTGCCGCTGAATCCCTGCCTGTCCCTCTGACGGCGGGTCCAAACACAACCTGTGGTTTTTAGTGTAAAACACAACGTGTGCTTCCGCTTACAAAACTTCTGTGGGGCTTTTCCTCCTCAAGGAGCCGGGAGGAATGTTCAGCGGTATGTTTAAAAAGCCCCCAAAACCCAGTGGATCAAAGGCGCCGTCTCAGGTATTTGTTTAGCTCCTCTTTTTGTTTGCCTCCAACAGGTTTGGTTGAAATGTGTTGTTTGATAAATATGTTTTATGACCCTCAGGAGGATTTGTCGGCTCAGAGCGAGCTCTCAGGAAGCAAAGATGACCTTTCAAATAACAAGGTAGTATTGGTAAAGTCTGCTAACACAATTACAAGCAAAATCTTTTCATGTCAGATAAGCATGGTTTAGCCATTTTTATAGGTGTGCGCCCATAAGTTCTCAACCTCTAACTGTGATGTGACTTGTCCGCCACAGGAGTCTGGTGGGATGCTCAGTGGTATGTTTAAAAAGTCCCCAAAGCTCTTTGGAGCGAGGGCACAATCCCAGGTAAGCCTGTTGACCTCCGTCGCAGCTTTGCTCTTCAGTCATGATGGAAAAGACAGTAAACAGCAGCCTTTTGTCCTCCTCCTTCAGGAGGATTTGTCTGCAGACAAGGAGCTCTCAGGCAGCAGCGACAGCCTCTCAGACAACCTGAAAAAGGTGAGATTTCAGCCTCCATCTTTAGCCAGCAAACAGGAACCAGGTACTGAAAATGTTGCTAATTCTGAGTTTATTTCTCAGGAAAAAGGAGGACGCTTCGGTGGCATGTTCAAGAGGAAAGGTGCCAAATCTCAGTCTCAGGTAAAGTGTTTGAAAAAGGCAGTGATTGATAGTTTTGGTTGAAGACAAAGTCAGAAAATGCATGTATGACCTGTAGTGTATGTAACTGGGGATATAATGATCAGATTAATTTTAAAAGCTTACATTTTCACAGATAATCACATCAAAAGTTTAGTTCCTCTATTTAGTTTATATGTGAACATATTTTTTTGTCCCGTTTAAAAAAAAAAAAAAAAAAAGACTCCTCTTTGGTCAGCTTGTACTAGGAGAAGTCAGCTCATATTTCCCTCTACAGGTAATAGGTAATAAGGTCACAGATGTCACTTCTGAAGTTGCTCGGCAATATCCAGCAGCGTTTCATAAAATGTTTTCCTTCACTTTTATCTTACAATAAGACTTTGTGCATTTTCCTCTGCTGTAGGATGACTTATCTGTGGATGATGAACTATCTGCCAGCAGTGAGAATCTAACAGAGAAGCCTTCAAAGGTAAGACTTTATCTTTAACATAATCTCCCTTTGTTCACATATTTATTTTTGTACACATGATCTTGCATACAGTGTTAATAATGTCAAGTTATGACTTTCCCCGCTCTGATTCGTCTCTCAGGGTGGAGTGGCAGCAAAGCTCCTAAAGAATCCTTTCAGCTCATCATCTCAGGTTAGATTCTCATGAATTGCTCTTCCCGCATGCATAATGCAAGTGTCGTCACGTTTGCTGACTGGCTTTGGTTTACAACAGGAGAAGGAAAAGGCAGAGAACTCTGGAGACTCAAACGAGAACAGCTCTGCAGCACAGATACCCAAAGCCAAACAGGTTGGTTGGCACACCTAAAAAGCCGAATCGCAGCCTGGTCAATGTGAATATCAGATCCACATGGTCACAGGTCTGTCGTGATGTTTAGGCAGAAGTTGTTGTTGTGAGCTGTGTTTAGTGTTTGCGCCGGAACATTGTGTTCTTTAAAGTAATTTTTTTATTTTGTTTTTTCTCTTTACAGAATGGTGTGAGTGCAGTAATGAAGAGCACTTTTTACACTGATAAACAGGTGAGTTCATGTTATCCTGCTAGCCTGAATTTAAGTGTAACTGTAGCGTAATGATGAACAGTTGGTTTTAATGTTTTACTTTACAATAAAAAAAGAAGAGCTCCAACACGAATGATGAGCAGACTGCAGATGGAGACAGCCAGCCTGGTCACAAACAGGTCAGTCGGGGTTCAGAAAGCATTGCTGTCTTTACTCTTTACCTTATTTCAGATTTTTTTTTTCTTTTGTCTTATGTTCAGAGTAAACTGGCTGGCGCGATGACGAAACTCAATCCATTCCGAGCTGCTCATAGAGTAAGGAAGATAAGAATAATCTTTTGATAGTTCCTGACTAAATGAAATTGCATAAATAAAATCAAAAAAGAAAAAAAGAAGTTATATCTTGACGAAATCTGTCGTGTTTACACAGCAAGAGAAGCAGACAGGATTAGAGGACGAGGATACAAGCAATGAAAAGCCATCAAGCCACAAACAGGTGAGTTTTATTATAATTTTTTTTCAAATCTTGTTTCGGTCTGCATTTTTTTTAGAACAACACTGAGCAGAGGTCTTAGAGTAGCTGTCAGCTCTGATAGCTGTCAGAGCTGCTTTAAACGGGTATTAATTTAACCCCTCAACATTTTTTTTTCTGATGCTATTTTCTCCCTAGAATGCAATGGCTGAAGCTATATCCAAACTGAACCCATTCCGCTCTGCACATAAAGTAACTTTCTGAATATGTGGGTGGTGGTGGGATTAAAGGCATAATCATAGCAGGGGTAGTGGTGGCAGCATTATTATAGAGGTGACGGTGGTTGATGTGTTTTTGTGTTGCTTTTTAAACTCTGCTGAACATGTGGAGGATTGCACAGCTGTTTGACTTGTCGGTAGGTCAGTGGCTCATTCGCAGCTTAACAGAAACAGAACAGTTTTAATGGAGACTGACGTGAATTTCATACCATTTCAAATCTGACTTTGCTACCGGGAAATTTAAACTATTGGCTAATGTGGTGTTTCAGACACTGATCAACTCATCTGTTTTCAGTTAGTACTCTTTAAGAGGGAATATTTCCTGTCCATTTTTCAGAATGACGCTGATGACACAGAGACACTCGAGGAGAATGGAAAGCAACTGGAGAAGTCTGAGCCGGTCAGTCTATTTATGACTTCACACATAACTCAGCGGTGACCCAACACGCACACACACACACACACTGAAAGCTTATTATGAACTGACAAAAATGCACAATGTCCTGAAGCTCCTCCTCTTCCATGTCTTAAACCACGTCTTCCTCATCTCCTTCCTGCTCGCTGATCTCCGTCTCCTGCTCTGGTTCACTGAGTCCGTCTGTGTTTTTGACATTGCCAGGTCAAAAGTAATTTGATGCCGCCGGAAAGGAAGCCAAGACATGAAACACCAAAAGTCCCACCCAGACCAACCAAAGAGGTTTGTGTACAGCGGAGCCACGTGTTTTTAATGAAAGTCATCTGACTTCTGCTTCTCATGTCTGCGTTCTGCTGTGTTCCAGGAGATGAAGTCGACGTCCCCTCCCAGCAAACTAAAGCCTAGACAAATGGAGGAAAAGGTAGACTTCACACAGACAGAGTGATACTCAGGCTGTTGGGATATTTATGTAGCTCAGAGATCGATTTTGGAGGAAATGAGTCGAGCTAAGTCTTTGTTTAGCTGTGTCCACAAGGACGAAAAGGAAAGAGGAAAACCTTCAGAAACTCCTGTTGTTGCTGACAAGCCTCACACTGTTGGCTGATAAATATTAGCTCTCTTCCTTTAGAGTAAAACAATCTGAATGTTTTGACGCATTGTCTATGTTATTAGCATACATAGCAGTGTTTAGCCTGAAATAGCAGAATCCTGCTCTTAATACTGAATATTTTGTCTAACTTGGGCAAACAAATTATGATATGATGCCTTCAAATGCCTATAGTGCCAGTCGGAAGATGAAGGCACCAAAGATGAATCTGCTGTAACCAAAAATGATGACGAGGATCCTCAGGAGAGTAAACGGGTGAGTGTGCCGGTCCAACAGACTGGTTTTAGAGTTCACTGATTTGAGATGGAGAAAAAAAACCTTTATACTGCAGAGAGGTGTTTTCACTTTGTTTTTTGTGAGTTTGGGATAGATTTCCTCTGCGTTTAGGCCATTGTTGTGTGTAACAAACCCTTAATGAAAAACAAGCTCAGGATACTTTTATCTCTTGTTCAATTCAAACCTTACGTTTTCAGTTCCTTCTTCCTTATCAGCCCTTTCATGCTAAAGTCATGCAAAAGATATGCGACACCCTAAGGGTATTGTCAGAGGGCGTTTCTATGGAGCTCCTTTCTTTTTATTAGTCACCGGGTCATTTAATCACTCCATACACAGTTTTTATATTCTGTTCAAAGTTCTGCTCTTTTGTTACTCCTTTTTTGGCTGACATATGGAACAGGGGGTTTAGCAAGCTCATATTTTCTGTACAATAAACATGAGGGAACTGTTTCTAGCTCAGGTGTTCCATGAAATTACATATGTCTGGAACAGCTGGAATTAAATATAGATCTTCAGATTTTTGCTTCTTGCCTTAATTAACACATCATCATTGTGCTTTTTATTTTAATTTTAATTGCAGACGAAGATGAAAAAGCACAAACATCATAATCCATTCATGCCTCATGCTGCTAAAAAGGTACGTGACAGCCTGGCTGCTTTTTAAGTGGGTTTTTTTATCCTGTGTATTATTCATTACAGAAAAGTATTGTTTTTCCTATTTTAGACACTCATTTGTGGCATTTCCTTGTTCTTACTGTGTTATTAATGCTAGACTGCGTCTGATGATGAGGAACTTAAAGATGAGGAGGAGTCTTCATCCAAAGAGGGAGCAACAGAAGAAGAGGGAAAGGACAAAACTGAGGTTTGCCGGTTCCCTTTTTGCGCATTGTGTGTTTTGTGTGTTCGCTGCTGTCCAGAATAAATGTTGATTTAACTGTAATAGCTGCAAAAGGAGTTATTTCATCATGATAACACTACAATCCTGTTTTTTTTTATTTTAGACAAACGTCAAGAAACCAAAGAGGCACAATCCTTTCATGCCTCGGGTCAAGGTAAAATTTAAGGAATGTGGCAGGTGGAAACATGTTCGTGTCCTGTGTGTTTTTGCTCAGATGGGAATTTGAGGAGACAATTTGTATAATCCCTCTGAGAATAACTCAACCGCTCCCACAGAAATATAAAAATAAGCAGACACATGCAGTTGTGCTTCTTTGTGAACCAAATGTCTACATGTAAATCAGCAGACATGAATTTTTGTTTTTTCGGTGTCCTTTGGTAAAACCTGAATGTTCTTCTTCCTCTGACTGATACAAGGCAATTGAGCTTTAGGTTGTTCATAATAAGAAAGCGGGGGTTTGTCCAAAAAGTACCTTAAGCCAAAGCAAGGGGGGAAAATAATCTAGAAGCAAAGTCATGCCCAAAGAAAAAAAGTTAGGGAAGACAAACGGACGGGTTATTCGATTTGATGCAGTAAAACTGGTTTTGGCTCCTTTTATCTGTCTTTAGAGGAAATAACAAGATTAACTTTTTTTTTTTTTTTATAGACACCCATTATTACTTTGGGAATGTTCCTCCCTGGCATGGGAGATGTTTATGAATTTTCTGAACTGTAAGACGAGTAACTCCCAAAGAAGCCTCTGTCTAATGTTCCTTTAAAATCCCTCATTTTGTCTTGTTTCTTTGTCTGCTGTTGTAGGGCAGCCTCGGGCTGGTCCCTCCACTATTTGTCTTTCGTCTTTCCAATGGGATACATAACCCCTCTCCTGTTATTTACCGCAGTAGTAAAGCTAGCTGTGTTTAACTTTGTGTGTTTTTGTCGTCCCTGCTTTCAGGCTAAAGTCGTTCCAAAGCGCACACCAGGCGATGCTGAAGGCGGCCCTGAAGGCAACACAGCAGAGGTGGGGAAATTAAACGCACCGCAAAAGCCCATCTTAATCTCTCCTCTCCTGGCCTGTCGGGGTTTTTCCTCCACCAGACTGTTGAAACCGCTCTCATTGTGGTCTATCTCAGGTCACACCCTGAAGGCCCCTCAGCTCCAGACAGAAGCTTTTGTTGTGTGATTTTCTGTTTTGCTCTGTTTTTGTCCTGAAACCCGCCCACTCACGGTGATCTGTGCTGGTACTCGCCCTAACCATGGCAGATGACTTGTGTTACACATGTCACACATGTGCCCAGACTTGTTTTTCTGCCTCATTGTGTTTTCCTTTCTTCTTTTTTTGCTTCTGAAAAAATTGAATCCCTTTTACACTTCCTCCTTTTTTATTTCACAGAAACTTTATAAAAAGTGAAACTGAGGAAACAAAATCACCTTGTTATCTTTATTTAGATTCTTGCACTTGATGCGTTTCCCTTTGTCTGAATAGTTTTTTTACACTGTTTCTTAGAATGAAGGTGCCAGCAGGTCTCTCTTTGACCAACTGGAGGACTTCCGTGTTGAACCCTCACAGCCTGAAAACAGCCAGGTCAGTCTCTGAAACAAAGTATGCCAACTTATCTTAAAACAGAATCCGGCCTCATTTCTGTGGATAGCAACCATGAAAACCTCCATTCAAATCCAACTTCTTTTCTTTCTCAGGATGTGGAGGATCTCATGGACTGGTGGAACACGGTGGAAGGTTTGTTTAGACTTTTTTTCCCTCTATGTTGAGAAGCAAGAGACCTTCCAGTTGTTTTCACCTTCGTACACTAACCTGTATGAGCTAAAGTGTGTTGGTACCAACCATTGTTGGTACCCCAGTGTGTGGATGCTTAAGTCATGAGGGGAAATCATCCTGCTGGCAGTTTTAAACAATAGAGAACAGTTTTAAAAAGGTAATTTCCATAATATACTGTTTAAAAACAATATTATAAATGATTTACATCATTGTGAGAGAAGTTGGCCGCTCTAATCGGACTCTTGCACCTCTTTGGGCTGCAGGTCAGAGGGTGGCCTCACTGTTGGCAGTCTGTGAGCTAGCCAGGTGCCCAAGTCTCAACATGGGCCTCTTGATCTCACGTCCACATGCTTTGGCCCTCTTACAGATGAACAATAATTCAAATATTATTCAATATTTACCTTGGCAGGATGGGAGGACACGCCTCAAGTTGACGACATGACAGAAAAAGAAGAAGCCAAGTAAGTGAACATAAATGTAGAAATATAGCTACATTTGTTGCTCCTCTAGAGATTAATATTTGTTTAGATTTGCAGAACTTTTCTGCTCCCCTCTGGTGGATAAACAGATCTGATCTGTCCCCACTCGTTTCAGGGCCTTCGCGGTGACGGCAGAGAAAGTGCAGAAGGGCATCCGCGTCTTCAACAAGCTGTTCTCGGAGCGGGCGGAGAGCCTGTGGCAGCACGTCATCGACCTCAACGGCATCGCCGACGCCCTGGACAAGTTCAACAAAAAGACCAAGATCGCTCAGATCACCGGCGGCTCCACCAGCGCCATCGGGGGCGTGGCCACCATCGCCGGCCTGGCCCTGGCCCCCGTCACCATGGGAACCTCTCTGATCGTGACGGCGGTGGGCCTGGGCGTGGCCACCGCCGGGGGCCTGACGTCGGCCGGCGCCGGCATCTCCAACCAGGTCAACAACTCCATGGACCGCAAGAAGGTGGAGAAGATCGTGGAGGACTACCAGGAGAAGATGGTGGACCTGAACAAGGGCCTGAAGTTCATCAAGCAGGGGATCGAGAACCTGCGCCGGTTCGACCTCATCAAGATGAAAAAGCACGCCTACAACCGCGACTTCCCCGCCCTCACCAGCAGCTTCTACGAGGACGGCGCCATGGCCGGGAAGGCCATCCTCATCAACGCCAACGAGATCATGCGCGTGGTGCAGATCGCCAACGTGGCGGGAAGCACGGCGGCGCGCGCCGTGCAGATCGCCAGCATGGCCACCGGCGTGCTCACCGGCCTCTTCGTGGGCATGGACATCTACTTTGTGGCCAAAGACTCCAAAGAGCTCAAGAAGGGGGCAAAGTCGGAGTTCGCCGCCAAAATCCGGGAGGTGGCCACGCAGCTGCACGACGGCCTGGTGGAGCTGAACGGCATCCGGGAGGAGCTGCAGTCCACCACGCCGGAGCACGCCGGCGAAAACACGGCCGGCGACGAAGGCACCAAAGAGAAACACGACAAGTACGACAGTTCAGACGAAGACGAAATCGACCGCATTAAGAAAGCCATCAAGAAAGACATGGAGAGCAGAGAATACGTGTGAGCCCCAACAAGCTTCTCAAGGACAGACGGCTTCTCTTGGGGCTTTATTAAAACTAAAACTGTCCGGGGCATTTCCAGTCCCCCACCGGGCAGAAGTCGGCCTCGGCCAGCTGTCTGTCAGGGAACCGACTTCAGCCCATGTGCGCCACAATAACTGGAACTGAGATTTGTGGTGTAAACAGAGCTGTTTTATTTTAACTACTTCTCTTGTGGAGATGTTTTCAGTAAATGGGTAACAGAGGCTTTGTTAGAGTTAGGCAGACCATTATGGTAAAATGAGATGATGCAGTAAATATTTTCTGACTAACTGAAGAACAGGGCGTCCTGAAAGGGGCAGCGTGCTGCTGAGCTGCTTTTCAGGCTGCTTGTTAAGAACATGAACAGAGCAAAGACGGCCTCAGATGATCTGAGGCAAAAATGGGACAGGTACTCCACCAGTCTGTGGACAAAGCTTTTTTATTAAGTTTGATTCTGGTCTCACACTCATTGTAAACTAACTGTTTATACTCAACAAATGTCCTGAATAATGTTTAAAACAGCTATTGGGCCAAAGGCAATACATTATGCACAAACTAACCAGATCCGCCAATCCTTTGATGAAGATAATGTGTTTTTTCGTTTGATTATACGCTGATTAAATGTGCTGCTAGCATTGGTGCACTGAACTGACATTTGCTCATCAGTCCTGTTTTTAACCCTATTTTTGTGTGTCTGTCTTTTTTAAAATTCTATTTTTATTTGACCCTAAAACTAAACGCGACTGTCTGAGCCTGTAATGGCACCCTGGGGTCATCAGGTGAAGGAAACCTGGGGGCCTCAGGCTGTCTCAGATGCTGATCAAATACACTTCTGGACATTTATTGTCTGTGTTACATCTCTTTTGCTTCATCAGACCGTTAGGCTGCTGTGCTCCGATTGGGTCAGCTGTTCTGGGCTCTGATCGAATCTAACTCCTATTTATTGTTTTGTTTTTCCTCTTCTGGCTGGATTTGATCAGTCAGGGAAACTTTTTATGTGCAATTTAAACGTGTAAATAAATGTTAAATGAAGCCCCATTTTGTCATTTTCGTCTGTGCGTTTTGTGAAAGACACCAGGTAAAGGACCATCTGGATTGAAGTTTCCGCCGTTAGGGTTCCTGAGGCTTTTGGTCCACTCGCCAGCTAAAATATTATGAGGACCTGCCCGATGCAGCTGCCCTCACGCTGAGCTCGGACCGGTCAGGGTGTGGCCAGGGAACATCTGAAGGAGTCCTGGGGCAGTAAGGCATTTTTTTAGCCCTGTGGGTGGTGGGGAGGCTTTTTATGTACTGAGCTTGCTTCCCACGGACGCTGAGATAAAAAGATCAGAGGCTCTTTTTTTTGCCCTTCTTTAGCTGTTTTTCTGACTAGGTTAGTGAGGTAAGGATGCAGGTGAGGCTCACTTTACACATCACAATTTTGTGAGCTTTAATGATGAATTTCAAACCCAAGACAAACCTGCTGGAGACTATTAGATACTCTTGTTTTGTTTTTATGGTAGCATTAATTGTGGTAGAGGGGAAAAAGTGAGGAATCATTTTCAACATTTGCCAATTCAGCTGTCAAATTTTATGATAAAATTAAAGAAATCGCTTGGATGCGTACAGCAATAAATAAAACTAAAATTAATGTTGGAATTATTATCTTGTGTCATCTGTAATTAACCTTTTAATTCAATTGGGGGGAAAATCCATGCTTTTTAACTTATTTATACATCTACACATGATCTCCTGGGTGTCCTCTCTCCTGTTCAGCACACACCTGCAGATGGGGATTTTCCACTCCGACTTTCTTGGTCAATCTATTTACTGTTTTTCTAGCCGCCCTCATTATATTTTGGGCTTCTTTGGATGTTAATCGTCTGACTCTTGTGACACTGGTGATTCTGATGTATCATCAGTCACCTGCAGACACAGCAAACCTTCTGGGTGGCACCGCCCTTCCCTCCCAGGTGAGTTAGGAGCCAAAACCAGGCGACAGCTTTCAGACCTTCTATCTTTTCCATCTGAAACTGGAGCCATTGTCTGACCAGTTAAACGCCCCTGAGGTCATTTCCTGACGCAACAGGTAGTTTTATGAAGACCAGTTTGCAGCTCGGAAGCTTTCAGGGCGTGTTTGGATTTGTTTAGGATGCTTTGTTCAACTGGTGAAGTGATGTGAGCTTTGGGTGGTGTCGGAAATAATAGGATGGAGGTAAACAATCCGAGTAACGTGGGAAGCTGACGTGGACCCGTTTACCCAAGAGGTTGACACAGGTGGAGTGCATGGGTGATGTCATCTTTATTTTCCGCACAAAACATGGTTATTTCTTTATTTATATTTTTTTTACATTTGTTTATATCAAGACCCATTCCTCTTTTTGGGGTATTAGGGTCAAATATAGCTAACAATAGTATTAAAAACAGCTCTGACCACAAAAGTTCATTTGAGTGGTAAACAAAGAAACTAAGTATATTGAATTTTTGTTACTCTTCCTGATAAAAACAGGCTCACACGTCTTTATGATCCCACTCAGTAATATGTTTTTTAAAAATTGCTTAAAAGATGTATCATTCCTCAGGGAATATTTAAATAATAATAATATTTGAATATAAAAAAATAAGCTTGGCATATTTTATTTTGTGCCAAGTCCTCAAATAAATGAATAAATACTATATTGCTGCAAATGGTAATACATCTGTTTTTATTTGAGGATGAATATCCCATTTCTAGATCAATTTTAAACATTTGAAATTAGGTAACGATTCAGTGATAACACCAAATAGAAAAAGTACACGTTCACAAATATCATGAATCAGATTGCTTTGATTTTACACTGCAAAAACATATCAAATGTGCTTTGGATAGCGTTAATACACTGAAAGTGAAGTTGGAATGTCAGATTTTTAGAGGTGTCCTGAACGCCTCAGGAGTGCAGACGTTGTGGTACGGGTGTGGTGAAGTTTAAAAACTCCTGGGAATCTCCTGACCGTGAAGGGGCCGCGGGTTTCCTGTTAGGCTGAAAGTTGGATGAGAGCTGTCCGCCCGGCGTCTGCAAAACTCCGGTAGGTGAAACGTCTCCGTCCGACACCGACGAGGGAGATTTTTGTCGTTTGGATGCTAAAATTAACAGATTAACATCAGTTCACATTCAACACGGGCGTGGGTTTAGTGTATTTAAATGTTCGCCAGCTAGCTGCTTTTTTCTTTCTTTTTTCTTACATATAATTTAGCGTAAAGTTTAGAGAATTCTAACTGTAAAAATGACCCAAAAACTATTATTTCCAATTATAGCAGTGTAGACTCGGTTTGCATTGTATTTTAAGCGTATATCTTACGGGGAACAATAAACAGCAGAATATCACTTTTTACACATAAACATTATAAATTCAGTGAACGTAAATGTAGTAAATTGTTTTTTTAACCTGCTTTAATGTGCCTCGAAGTAAGGTTAGTGTAAGATGAGTATGTTAATGTTGTGACTTCTCAGTCAAAGGAAAACAAACAAACAAACAAACAAACAACAAACACAGCTGTTGTCAATGTTTACCCGGATGAATTGATTCAGGGACTGAATTCGTGTCATAACTTGACCCCCACCTCTGTGTTTATACATGAAAAAATGGCGGCCATTCCTATTCAGGATGGCTCATTTCAATTGAGGAGTAGCTCGACTCCTCTGCTAAAATTATCTGACGTAGACACGAAGCTGTGGCTCATTTTAAGAGACAAAAAGCTTCCTGATAGTTTATATTAGTATATACTCTCGAGGGTTTCTCCTTTTTGGGACAATAAAAAGGGGAAGTACCTCAGCTACTTCATCATGCATCATTTCTTTAAACCAGATTCAAATCATTGCCAAAAATTTCTAGGCCACAAAATCATATTATTGTCTTATATTTTTGGCATTTACTCATAACAACTTTGCTCACTTGGTGGCAAAAATTCACAAGATCAATAAGGTGCGAAAACCTTATTTGGCACCTTTGTTTCCCGTTTCCTTTCACAATGTGGTTCAAACCACCCAGACAACGTTGCACAGCTCCAGTCGCTTGTTCATGGCAGCACTGCCCCAAAAAGAGGAAGGGGAAAAAGCCTTAGGAAGGTAAAAATCCAGCTCAATGATTGGCCATTCCCATCTGCAGACGTGTTTACAGCCAAAGCAAAGAGTGGAGCTCCAAGTCGATTACTTTTTTTGGAGAAAGTTGCCCATTAGGGATATCACTGAGCTTTACAGATGTGTCACTGTCCAAGAGACAAATGCAGCACAGTACGAGAAAATGCAACGTGTTGCTATGGTTACCCCGAGTTATTGCTCATCACCACATCCCTGGTTCGCTGGATGACCACCGAACAGATGCACTTTCCCAAATGTTGAGGCAGCACTCATCAAAGGAGGTCTGGTCTGAACCAAACGGCACCAGCGCTCACCTGCAAGTGAACCAAGCTGCAGTTTTCCACATCAGAGCTGCGTAGGCAGCTTTAAATGGACCGGATAGTTTGAAAGCTCCTCCTAACTGTGGTCCACCTGAAAGCGAAGATCGTTTCATGTAGAAACTATAACTATGAACAGACCATCCAGTGAACAAAACACAAAATTTGACTTTGACAGTACATTTTGGTTAAGGAAAAGAAGAAAAACAAAGCCAAACGGCTCAAAACTGAAGAAACAAGTGACCAAAAAAACGTTGGACAATGTGGAGCAGAGGGGGGGAAAATATCAAATTGTCAACATTTTTGTTTTTTGGTCACTTAAAGAGAAATTAAAGGTTGCAGGTTCCATTGCTTCAATTATGAACCTAAAACTGTTTCTTTTCATCTTTAGGTAATTGTGTATCTCTCCTGCAGGAGTGATGGAGGCCTGTATGATGAAGCCAGAGGTCAAAAGGAAGCCAAAACCGGTGAGAATATAACTTTCACAAAAAAACAATAAAAACATGGAACACGATGAAAAAAAAAAAACAGGTGTGCAGGATTTAATTGATGAAAAGTTAAGGCTCTGATGTAAGAACACTGTTTCGTTCTAAAAAGATGAGTAAAAAGCTTGTGTACAGCTATATGATGAGTCTCATCACCTGCAGCTGTTTGTGTCTCTGTGCTCATACAAGCACATGGTTCACGCCTCCTGGTTTGACAACATAAAATGTGCTGAATGGATGTCAAAGCCACCGGATTAACAGAAGCTTTGCCTCAGTTAACGGGCCGATGACTCACCGTAACACAAACGTGGGACATGACAAACGACGCTCTGTATGTTTGACCGAATCTGAACTGACTCAGCTTAACAGACTGGTTCTGGTTGCTGATGGAAAGCTGATATCCATCTCTATCTGCTGTGTTCTGCATTCCCAGTATGTGTAAAGGGGTTCCTGTCAACAACCAATTGTTTTATGTTTGTTTTTTTCACCTTGAATAAATGCTAATTTTGTAGGAATAATTGAAAGTTCTAAGGCAAAGTGATTTAAAACTGGTACTAATGCTGTTGTTTGTGTTTTCAGCCTAAACCTCCTCCAAAGCCTTCTGAGGTAGTGCAATAAACTCAGACCTTTTCTTAAAAACAGACAAATGTATTTGCTCTCTGAAGTGTTTGTCCTGACCCTTACAGAAGGTTTAAACTCTGTTTTCAGGCAAAAGCAAATGAGCCAGAGAGAGCTGAGAGCCCCGTTCCTGTGGTGCCTCGTCGGCCCACCGATGCTGTAAGTCCACCCCAAACATTTGTCCGTCTCCAGGTCACAAGTCGGCAGCCCTCTATTACCTTAATGTTATCTCAATGTTTCTTCATAACATGAGATAAATCAGTTATTTTCTAACACAGTAAAAATAAATCAGTGCTTTCCAGTCGGATTCATCAAAATCTGCAGTGGCATCTTTTTAAAAATATTTTGAACATGTTTCATTCAGCTTTTTCTAATCTAATGTAATGAAAAATGGACTTTGTTACAAATACTTCAGCATTTGACTGGACTCAGAGCAGAGTTGTGTGTTCTGTGCAGGAACTGAGTCACACCCAGCACAGACTGAAAAGAGCAGCCGCCTCAAGCGACCAGGTATTCACTCCATTAAGCTCTGGCTGATTGTGCAATCCTGGATGTGTTTGAGTGTTTTTTTATTGTAATTATATAGGTTTTACACACTTTACTAAACAACAGTAAAATCAGAGCGGCTATTGTTTTGATGTCCTCAGAGAAATGGAGAAACCGAAGCGAAACAGTCAGAAACTCCTGTTGTTCCACCCAGACGCGCACAAAGGGTACAGCACAGTTTAGTATACAGGCTTAAAAATTGGACATGACTCAGTAGCCTCCTAAAGCTCCTCCAGGTTTCATTGATCTTTTCTTATTTGCATCAAATGTTCATACAGGAACTAAATGCCACAACCAGACAGAGCCAGCACAGGAGGGTCCCATCTGATCCGACAAAGGTAACACAGAGAAGGTCCACCCACACCTCACCCCTGATCCTAAGCTGCTGATTAAATAACTTCCCCTTCCCTCTCAGAGCTCCAGTGAAGCTGCTGTAGATGAAACAGATTTTAAACAGGTATTTTAAAGCTGCTACTGTAAACAGGAGGCTCTGAGCTGATTCCTAAACATGTGATGCCTTACCCTGCCTTTCCATGTGCTTTGCTGTAGAATAATCCCTCCGTCCTCACCGGAATCTTCCGGCGAAACCCAAAAGAAAAGATGCCAACCTTTACAGTAAGCAGAGCGCCTAAACCTCCCACGTGTGCACGTCTGCGTGACTCTGAATCTGTGACGGGGAAACAGCAGGCAGCTTTCCAAACATAAGGTTCATCAGGGTTTTAGTCACACTGTATATTTGAAGGCCGATGTCCCGCCGGCTTTAGATGTTCCCCTGCTTTTACACACCGGATTGAGTTTGAATTGATCTCTTAAAAAAGTTGAACTTCTGCACAAATCTGACAATGGTACAATGTTGGTATTCAATAGTGCTGAAGAATCTAAGGAATGCTGTAGATCTGCTGTCGACATGACTGCTGTAAAAAGTTAATTTTTAAATGTACTGAGTTTTTTTTTATTTTTTATATCTCATCTCACGCAAGATGTAATTCTTCTGTCCTGCAACATCTATTCCAGCTTTATGCACACGCCCAGTTTTGTCAATTAGGTGACGGTGTAATCAAAAACCTTTTTAGAAAGCCAGTAGATGACTTCCTCACTGAGTAGCTGGCCTCACTGCCCTGAACAGCCCTTTCACACTCTGCATTCAGGATTTCTGCTCTGTGTGATCGCACAGTTCAAAATCAGAACAGGTTTTTGGCTTTGAACAGGTGTATGCGTGGGTGTGCAGTGCCATGTAACATAACTGTGCATTCACACATGCGGTGTGCAACAGCCGATGTTAGTGACTCACTTCAGCTGTGTGCAGCTTCATGTACGTACAGTGTTTCAGAACCTGTTTTTCTGGCCTCTGTCTTCATTCTTCCAGAGCTACATGATCCCCACTTCTGATGTTGAGGAGAAAACTGATGACGCTGCAGCCAAACAAGCTCCAAGCAACAAACCGGTATGTCTGTGTGAGTGTGTGCGTTCATGTGTGTTTTTCCACCGTTGTCCTCTGGTTTCTGACATGTGACTGGTTGGCAGGGCGGTCTGACAGGATTAATGAAAGGGTTGCAGTTTAAGTCGTCACCAAAGGTATGAAGCAGCGTCTGGGTTTGGTGTTTCTGCTCAAAAGACTGACGGCTTCATGGGGATGGTGGAGGTCACTGCTCCTGCTCATAACTCCTGATCGCAAAAAGCCATCACAAGTCCCATTTGAGTCTAAATCACAGCTCAGTGAGATAGTTGAGTTGTTCAGCTGTCATCGATCTTATGTCAGATATTGGGACAAAGCTGGCTATTATGTGATGTAGTTAAAAACTTTATTCTCATAGTAACTGAATAAACCACCACGATCCTGGTTCAAAATCAGGGAAGATTAATTTATACACATAATGTAAAAGAAAGGATTACTGAGTGTTGATCCATTGAAGTCTAATTTAGGAAGAAACAACTGAAATGTTTTTTTTCCTTTTAAAAAGAAACTTCAAGCATCCTTAAAATCTCCTAACACCTATTTTTCTTTCTTCTCAATAATTTGACTCGAGCAAAAGTACAATTTCTTTCAATCTGGGACCTCAAGCACTGGCCCTCATGGGCTGCTGTCCTGCATTTGAGATGCTTTTTCCTGCTTCACACAGGATTTTGGTTTAAAAATGTACAGCCTTATAGTAAACGGGTAAGTGTAATTTGTTCCCATGCCAAGGAACGGAGGCTCTGCCTCTGGGTAGGAAACACTCGTCTTTCTTTCTCGTTGGCTGGTAGAAATCACGGAATCGGCTGCTTTGGTGACTTTATATTTTTATTTTTATTTTTTTCAAGGCCAGTAGAGACCCGAGTCCAGATCCCAGTGCAGAAGAAACCGGGTCAGAGAGGGAACAACCTGCTGAGAAAAACGATCAGGAGAAGAATGCAGAACCCAAACAGGTGCATTCAGAGTTCTGCTTCTTCTTTTCCAAACAAAAGAAAACGCTGCATCACGACAAAAATGTGGAAGATGTTCATTTGTTTAGGAAATCAGTAAAAAAAAACACACATAATGACATCATTTTAAGAGTATTAAAAAGTGGTTGGACATATTTCACCCTCTCCATGTTTCAAAGAAACAGCAGTTTTACTGATTAAATTTGAAATCTCTTCATACTTTGCGTTTTCAGGACAAAGGAGGTCGGCTTGCTGGAATTTTCTGGAAATCAGCCAAAGACAGTTCATCTTGTCCAACCCAGACGGTAAAGTGTACCCTGTTGCTTTTTGGTTTCTTTAAATTCATCCTGGGAAGACCTGCTTATAACGACTGCTGGGGCTTTGTTTTTCTCCCCTTTGAAGTGTCTGCAAACCAAAAAATGTCCACACTGTTAGTCAAAAGCTTTTAAACATCAAAGTCATACAAAGGCTTTGTGTCATAACTGACTGCGTACATCTCATTAATATAATACAAATTGGGTTCATGACCAGTTTATCTAAAAAGTAAAATAAAGTATAAAGATTTCTGGAAATGGGCTCGATTTAAAACAACAAAACTTTCCTTTTTTCTCTGAAGGCCAGTAAAGAAGACAGTGGTCCTGAAGATGTCGAGGAAAAGGAGAAAACATCAGAGAAAAAACATGTAAAGTGCTATTTTAGTGTCTTTAGCAAGCAAACGGAAAAACTGAACGAGGAGTTTTTTTTTTAGAACCAGCTGCAAAGACCACAAAATAAATGTGCTTTCATGAGTGATGAGCTCCTCTTTAAGAGATCTTTGAGGGATATTTAAATGATAAAAACTTTCCTAAATAAACCTGATGTAAGTTTTTAAAACAATATGGGGTTTTTTTCCAGGAAAAAGGGGGGCTCTTCAACATCCTGAAAAAGTCCAACAAGTCAGGAGATGAGGCCTCTGCACAGGTGTGACACCCCCCTGATGTTCTGTGGTCATGTGGATGATGTCATTGTTTCGTATACAAGGACCAGTGAAAGCTTTTTCTATTTTTGAAATAATTTAGATGTTTCTGTTTTGCCTCCTTGCTGTTTCAGGAGAACCTGAGTGCTCAGAGCGAGCTGTCGGCCAGCAGCGACAGCCTTTCTGAACAGGGCAAGGTGAGCAGCTCTGTGTGTCTAAGCTGAAAAAAGATGATATGAACTGTTGTGACTGTAGACTTTCCTTCACTGAATGACACTGAGGCTGTGCGTCTGTTTCAGGAAAAAGGAGGAATATTCAGCGGGATGTTCAGGAGGTCTCCCAAACCAGCAGAGACTGACCAGGTCAGCGGGTTTCTTCTCGGTTTGAATGCCACTAAAACAAAACCACATCTTTAGTTCACCTCAAATAATTTAAATACTTTTATTTTTACGGCTCAGGACAAAAAGTCTCTTTCTGGCGATCTGTCCGGCAGTTCTGACAGTCTGACTGAGAATCGCTCAAAGGTGAGCTCACCTGTGCAGCGAGGGGATTTCTTTAAAGTGTGTCGGTTGTCATGATGTAACAGACACTAATCACGTTCGCTTATCTGCCCGATGTCACCAGGAAAAAGGATTTTTTAGCGGGATCCTTCGCAAATCGCCCAAGATTGTTGGAGAGGGAGCAGCTGAGCAGGTAATCAGATGCTCACTGATCATTTAACCACGGTGACGCATGTTTTTCTAACCATCCAGAGCCGAGTATTGATGAGAATAATTTATAGACAAAAAAGACAGTAAAAGTTTTGTCAAGGACATTAATATTTTTACAAGAGAGCCAAATATACCCGATTTATGGCAACAAAAAAACATGTTCCATTATGTGCATTTCGATTTCAACAAATCATCTGCTTCAATATTCTGAGGATTGTGTTCTTTGTTTTAATTTGCCTTTATGTAAAGAAGCATTCCTCAGAGCTGAAATGTGAACGTGGACGTTACTCTGTACAACTCCAAAGATCCTGATGTAGCTATGTCCCTTTGAAATGTTGTGCTTCTGTTCTGTAAGCCCTAAAACCTTTTAGAATACCCTCATTTGAGCATGCAGAAAGACAGACTATAAAAGGATCCTTTAAAACTTTGTGGAAAAGATGCTAGGCTGCTGAATATGAAGATTTATTTTTAACATTTTGGGTCGTTTGTGTTTCAGGATGAAGAGTCGGAGCTGACGGCCAGCGATGAGAATCTGTCTGAGAAGAGCGGCCCAAAAGTAAGGGACCTCTAAGCCCTCTGAGAACGACTTTAACGTATCTGCTCCGTTAATTGAGTGAATCTTCCTATTTGATGCACCAGGAAAAAGGAGGCGTTTTCAGCTCGATGTTTAAGAAATCTCCAAAACCGTCTGAAGGTCCCCGACTGGAGGAGGTATGATGTCTACTTTTTATCCACCACCTCTGAGGTTTATTTGGTTCAAAGCAGCAGATGTCTTCACAGTGACTCTGAACTGACTTAATGAATTATATTACTATTATTAAGGCGTTTTTCATTTAATCTCTAAATGACTCTAAAAATGCAGAAACTTATTCCGAGTTCCTGTGCCGTCTTCCATGTTTGGTTTATCAGGCTTTTTCTGCACTGAGTGCTCCTGTTCACACTGGTTAGATGACATTTTTCTTATTTTCAGGGCACAGAGTCTCTGCATAGCGAGTTTAGTGAAAGCAGCGAAAACCTGTCGGAGAATAAGGTGAGTCCTCCCACTGAAAGGATTCCCCACTTAAGCAGCTTGAATCATCGCAGAAAACAAACATGTCTGATCTTGAGCAGCCGGCCCCACAGGTGGAAGATGCTGCTCAGAACAAACAGCTGAAATTATTTTTGTGTCTTTGTCTATAGGAGAAAGGGGGTTTGTTCAGTGGACTCCGCAGAAAGACCCCAAAATCAACCACCGAGGTAAAAAACCTTCAAACCCAAGTAGTTTATAAACAGAAACACAGGTTATACAGTCAAACCAGGGAAACGGTTCTTTTTATTTTTTACATTTAGAGACTTTTTCAAGCTGTGACCTACAGAAAGCATTTGTTTGTGCCCAAACTCCTTTCTACATCCTCCAAACTGCAGACAAAGTCAAATAAAGAAGGGGAATTTCACAAAGATAACAAAGTTTTTCCAAAGCCAGTGCTGATGTCAAGTTTTCAGCCTTTCCTGTTAAGACATGCCACAAATACCTGCCGTGTTTTCTGAGGGGGGGAGTAGCAGGACATTTAGGCCACAGATTTATAACCCTCGTCCTCCAGTTTTATAATCCCTCAGATGATCTCCAAGGACACCAGTTTTGACCCCATCTTTTCATAGAAATAACTTTTCCATCTTCAGCTAAAATTACCATGGGGGGAATAAAATAAATAAATAGTGTTGTTTCTGTTCCAGGAGAATCTTCTGGCTCATGGAGATGTTTCAGGAAGTACTGACAGTCTGTCTGATGCAGCCAATTCAAAGGTCAGTTTGGCATTATTTACGATGCTACGCTGATTGGAAAGGGTGTAACTAATTGTGTCACATTTTAAAGCTACATCTTAGATGTGGTCATTTAGAGAAAACTGTGAGTATGTCTGTGTTTTTCAGGAAAAAGGAAGCATATTTAGCGGGATATTCAAGAAGCCTCCTAAATCGTCAGACGCTGCTCAATCTGATGAGGTAGGTTTATGTAACATGGATCAGTGACTCCAGCTTCTGCTAGAAGCCTCTCTGTTCCTGTTCGCTTTACAATAAGCTCTGGTTGTTGACAGGATGCACAAAGATGGAAGATGAGCTGGTTTTTGCTTTTTCATTTTATGTTTGTTACTTTTTTACCATTTTTCTATGAAAACCAAACATGTAAATATGTCTGTACTGATTCACACAAGGAGATTTGAATGTTTTCATGGTATTGATGTAATAAAGTCAAATGACCCTTCATGTTTAAGGTAACAGCACTTTTAAAGCTGTTAATGTCTCCTTGCAGGATGGGCTGTCTGACTGCGAGCTCTCAGCCAGCAATGAGAATTTATCTGAGAACAAACAGGTCAGTGACTTAAAACCCACAATAAACCTGTTAAACTCCGATCCCTCATCCTAAAGTTATTATTTTTGTAATTGATCAGGAGAAAGGTAAAGGTTTATTCAGCGGACTCCTTAAAAAAACTCCCAAAGCATCAGGAGAAAGGACCGAAGCCCCGGTAAGTAAATGTTTTCCTGCATGTGCAGAGAGTTTCAAAACTCTCCGATAATTTGAACCGCTTCAAGTTTTAAAACCACTTTCTGTTTCAGGACGGAGAAGAAGAGCAGCAGCTGTGTGCCAGCAGTGAAGATCTGTCTGAGAACCCCAGCACCAAGGTCAGTGTGCTCCAGACACCTGGAGCTCACGCGTCATCAGCAGCCGCAGGCAGTTTTTAAACCCCGGCGTCCTTTTCTGTTTCCAGGAGAAAAACATTTTCAGCAACATGTTTAAGAAGCCGCAGAAGCCAGCAGAGGGCGCCACAGCCGAGCCGGTACAGCAGCTGCAGCAGATGTTTTTACAGAGCAAATCTTCACGTTTTCATTTTTAATCTCGTCTGTTTCTTCATGCAGGAGCTGGCAGCTGAAAACCAGCTGAAGGGCAGCAGTGAGAATCTGACAGAAACAACCGGCCAGAAGGTATTTCGGAGCAAAACACCACTTCTGCATTTCCACTTCTGTGGCAGACTCTGTCATGAGAAGATGAACTGAAACCTGCCTTGTCATGTCGACTTGAGATATTGTCCAGCTGTTAAAGATTTCACAGAAGTCAAAGTAGGCCAGATAACGGATATAAGTGTTCACTCTTCACATATGTCAGACGTGTACACAGATGTTTTTGTCGCATATACAACATGCTGAGTCTGTAGTTTCAGTCTGTTACAGAAGTAAACGAGTGATTTGTGTTGTGCTCTGGAGTGTCCATGAGAGGGGAAGCGACAGGTTTAGCAGTTAAGTTTTAAATTCCAACCTGAATTCAACAGGGAGCCTATGAAATGAAGCTAAAACTGTGAAGATGTGTCGTCTCTTAATTATTTTGGTTGTGTTATAAAGACAGGATGTACCTAAATGACTGAGGCTTTGGCTGGTCAGTAAATGGTTCCCATCACCTGAATATGTTGTGAATTTGAAATGACCATCACACCTTAGATCTGCTGGCTGCTTAGAATAACAAATGTGCTTAGAATTGTTATTCCGGGTGTTCCTTTGTTGCTTGTTCTGTTGTTGATCGTATGAAATAGTCTGTGTTGGAGACCCTACGTGGCTTTAAGCTGCTGTGAACCTCACAGTAAACTGTTAATTCCCACCTCTGATTAAGTCAACGTTTCTGCATGATTTGTCACACAGAAAAATGACGTGCATGTGTGTGGTTGTGTGTTTCAGGAGAAAAAAGGAGGCCTGGGGGGAATATTTAAAAGATCCTCAAGTTTTGAAAACCTGTTGGACGAGGTCAGTGTGTAAGGCTTTGTGATTATTTACCTTCACTCAGGATTTATTTAAAGAAAACCTGGTCTTTTGTGAAACTTGTTTCCCTAAACATCCAGAAAAACATTGGTTACTTCCACAGGGAGAGGGTGATGAGAGGAAATGTGATGGTTTCTTTCTGTTCTGTGTTTTTCAGGACAAAAATATTTTCAGTGGGATTTTCAAGAAAAGTCCAAAACCAGCCGATGAGGTGCAGTGATGGAACGGAATGCTAAAACATGACAAAAGGATTCATTTCATCAGTGTTTTTCCATCTTAAATATGTTTAATTTAACTTTTTGTGTGTTCAGGAATCAAGTGAAGCAGGCGAGGGCAACAACTTATCCTCCAGTTCTGAAAATCTGTTGGAGGCAAACACCACAAAGGTACAAATGTGTCCAGTCAGCGTCACTATTGGCTTGTTATTCAGAATATTCTGTAGCTGGTTGTTAATTATCGCCGTTTTATTTGTGACAGGAGAAAACAGGAGGATTTGCAGGAATCTTTAAAAAGTCACCCAAACCAGCTCCTCGATCGATCGCTACTCAGGTGACAAATTTAAAAATTTTCAACTTCAATCTCAAACTAACAAAGCAGTGTTGAGATACAGTAAAGCTGCCATTCATTTTCAATCTGAGCAAATATTTATGATTCTCTCTTTTTGTCAAAATGTTTTTAAAAAAAGCCAAAACAAAAGGTGGACATCGGCAAAGAATTAAGGATATAATTTTCTTTTTTTTTTTAATAAGTCAACATAAATTCAATATGAAAGAAATTGAACAAAAATCTTTTCGTAAAATGTACAATTTCCTCACTACTATATCAAGAATCCCTTTGATGCAATGATTACACCCACAAAGAAACATGTTCATGTGAGACTAAAGTTGTTATTTCTGCACTATTGATTTTATCACCCATGTTTAATTGATTTTTTGAGTTGGTAAAAGCAATATATAATTAATTATACATTTTTTGGTCACACGTTAAGAGCGTACTGCTTGCCTTTATTGAATGTTTTTAAAGAAGGGAAATGACTGCTGCATTTTTGTTCAGGACCCCCTCAGTGACTCAAACCAGCTGTCGGGCAGCTGTGACAGCCTCAACGAATTCGGAAAGGTGAGATCTTTGATACGGGAATACATTTTGAAAACTTGCTGAGAACAAATATTCCCAATGTTTAGATAATTAATGAATTTTTGACACCATCCTGAGGCATGAAAAAAAAAAACAGTGCTTCAGCTGGAAACGAGCAATTCATGACTAGTTCCCTCAGAAAACTGAGACCATTCATTCTTACCCCATGAAATATTTGTATTAGTTTTTTATTATGCAGTGATGATTTATTATTTGAAATCTAAAATGACTGTTTTAAAGGACGATGTCTCAGCCCAGAATCAACTGTCTGCTAGTAAAGAGGATCTGTCAGAGTCCACGAACAACTCAAAGGTGAGTAAAGCCAGTATCTGTGTGTCCTCAGTCTTTATGGTGTTAATTAGAGCTTGAATGGGGAAACCCGGACTTCTTTGATCCTAAATACGTTTGGCCTTACATTCTAAAGCTCCTTCACTCTTGGCAGCCAGCTACAATGGTTCCTTTGTTTCCTTCCTTAGTTGGTTTCACAACCATTTCAACTTTGAAACCAGTGACCAAAACATCCTCTTTGAGACAAGTAAACAGCAGCAATCATGGCTTCTCATTGGTCGGGTGTTTAAGCCATGATTGCAGCCGTAATAACCCACCAGCCTTAAAGGGCCAAGTTTAGAATTAAAGAAGACTTTAGGGTTAGAGGTTAAATATCAGCTGTCCACCATCAAGCAGCTCAGGATTTTATCATTTTTCTTAACAGGAGAAAAACATGGGGTTTGCTGGGATGTTCAGACGGACGCCCAAAACATCGGAGAAGCAGGTACAGAAAAAGTTTATCGTAATCATTTATTTGTAGACATATTCACACTGTCAGCTGCAACAGACTTGAAGTGTTTTCACACGTCAACGCTGGAGATGTTCCAGAGAAAATGTTTGTTTTGAGTTTCTTTTTAGTTGTGTACCTTTTATTTTTTTAAATTCTTTTAATCAACTTAGCAGAAGTCTCGTTTTTACAACCAAACTACATTAGTATTAGAATTGTTTAATTCTATATCAGAGAGTCGCACCAAGCTGAACTAAGGTTGAATCAGTTGAACTATCGGTTATGACAGTCCATCCGTTCATTTTTTTGCTGTTACCTCAGGTCAGCAACAGGTTCAGGGGGGAAACCCAGACATCGCTCCCCTCAACTCCTTCTTGGGGGGTTAATTCCACAGCTATGTGTTTGTTTCATTTCAGCAGATAAAAACAGAAACTCTGCTATTTTAATCTGTGTTGCAGGAGGGCGAGGACACAGAGGCACCGGCGGGAGGTGGGCTGAGACGCAGGAGGACGATAAAGAAGAAAAGACGAGTGAGTTGTTTATTTCTATTGACTGGGACAGTAAAAGTAAGAGACCTGATTTAAAACACAAGCTAACACTTCAAACAACCCACATCCCCGACTTCTTTAACATTCGGTTTTCATCAGGTTGTGTCTTTCCGGATCAAGAAAACTCTTCCCAAAATCCCCAAAATCGGTCAGGCTTCACAGGTATTTTCTGCCGTCTGAGTTATTCACCACACAAAGCAAGATGTGACCAAACAGAAATACATTCATTTTAGTCACTCAGAACTGACTAATGGTGTGTTTCTTCTCCCCAGAGTCCAGAAAAGATGCCGATCATTGAGGAGAGCGTTGAGCTGCAGGATCTGAATGCCCCGCAGGTTAATATCAAAACAATTCACTTACTGTCCACCTGTTAAAATTATATTTACATTCTGTAATGGGAATAAAGAATAGCATTTTTTTTCTATCAATGTTTTTAAAAGTTCACAGGATCTGAATGAGATTTTGGCAAATCTTTTGATTTGCATCTTCTCATCTTGTGTCCTTTTTGTCGTTTTCTTTATCATATATCTCATTTCACCTGTAATTAAATGCGTGGCTGACTTTGGGGGCAGAAGCAGCTTTGTGTTACTCTTGCGTTACTGTTTGTTCAGCAGGAGAGCACCGTGGAGATCCAGACGGTGCAGATGGCGGCTTTTCCGAGTGAAGAAAACCCTGCTGAACCCACCCCGGTGTGTTTTGGCTCACTGCACACACTTGGTTTGCGTAGGCCTTAATTTGCCTGCTAACTAACAGAAGTCATGTTTTCTTGTTTTCAGGAGAGCGACGAGCTGATGGAGTGGTGGAACACAGTGAAAGGTCGTGCTTTTACACGTTTGTGCTTAAGTGAAACATTTAAATCTCCGTTTACTGATCGTCTTGTTGTGTTGCTGTTTTCCAGGTTGGACTGAGTGGACTGAGAGCTCCAATTTCCAGGAAGATGATGAGGAAATGTACATATAGTTTCTTAATTTTACCTGGGGAAATGTACCTGGGGTTCTGGGGAAATGTTTGGGTAAAGTGCGGCTTTTTTAAGAGCCTTCTGTCAGTTGAACTATCGTGGTTTGAACTAAGTCGTGGTTTGGTGTCTTTGCAGGGCGATGGAGCAGGCGGCGGATCGAGTCTACATGGCCGCCCGTCTGTTTGTGCGTCTTTTCAACCAGCGGGGGGCGTCCTTGCAGCAGCGCATCCTGGAGCTTCTGTCTTTGGCCGACGCCGCCGACCAGTTCCACAAGAGGACGGTGACGGCGGCGGTGGGCGGAGGCGTGGCCAGCGTGGCGGGCAGCGTGGCCACCATCACCGGGCTCATCCTGGCCCCTTTCACCTTCGGGGCCTCCATCATAGTCACAGCGGTGGGGATCAGCGTGGCCACGGCCGGCAGCATCGCGTCGGCCACGGCCAACATCACCGACACGGTGCACTCCAACATGGACCGCAAAAAGGTGGAGAAGATGATCCAGGGCTACCAGGAGGAGATCAAAGACATCAGGGAGTGTTTGGAGTTTGTTCAGGGGGGGGGGGGGGGCTTTGTCACTAGAGAGGGAAAAAAACAGGTCTATTGAAACAAAAATTATTATGTTTAAAGATGCTTTCAGGCCCTTACTGTAACTGACTGAAATCTGAGTGAGATTATGCGTTTCCGGTAAAAATGAGTGTTACAATCAGAATTAACCGGTGATATCAGGCGTTGTTGTTGTTAGAAACAAGGACTTTCCAGGCAGATGGTGGTATTTTTGTTATACCTCCTGGTTCTATGTGTACGTCTTCATTTGTCAGCGTTATCACAGAACACAATGACCTCAGTCTGGACATGCTGGGCTGGACAGCACCACTGGACATGATAGCAGTTTTCTTCTATGCATGATTATCTTGGAAGACAACGGGTGTTTCCTCTATGCCGCGTGGGAAATCTCTGATGTTTCAGATGGAGTTTTCTGAGAAAAGAACAAAACCAAAACCAGTGTTTAGATAATCCTGTTGGAGGACATTTTAGAAATGATTCAACAGTTGAAATGAAAACAAAGCAATCTATCACCCCCTGGTTTCAGATGTTTCCTGCCTCTTTCAGGGAGACGTGAACCTTTAAATTGATTAATTACATTATTTTCCGACAAGTTTTACTCCATTGGTTTACATTAATGTGAAAGGTGGAGATCTCTCCCCAGAGGCAGCTCTGACCCTGATCTGCTGTCTCTGCTCTGCAGGAAGGTATGGACACCCTACAGGAGTGGGATTTTGAGAAGTACTCTCAGAGTGCTGCCAAAAAGGCCATGAACCACAACATCAAGCACGTGATGAAGGAGGGAGGCCGGGCGGGAAAAGCCCTGATGATCAACACCGACAAGCTCATCAGCACCGTGCAGGTTCTGGGCGCCGCGGGCGGCGCCGCCAAGGCCGCTCAGGCCATCAGCGTCACCACAGGCGTCATGTCCGCCCTCTTCTTGGCTCTGGACGTTTTCTTCCTCGCCAAGGACTCCCACGAGCTCCGAAAGGGCGCCAAAACCAAGTTTGCTGGCAAGATCAGAGAGGTGTGCAAAGACCTCCAGGACGGCCTCCTGGAGCTGAACAAGGTGAAGACGCAGCTGCAGAAGACCATGGACGGCATCGAGGTGGAGGAGTACGAGGAGATCGAGGAGGTGGAGGTCGAGGTGGACGACGATTTGGAGTCTGACCCAAAGAAGCTGGCTGAGCTGGAGCAGGAGCTGGACCTCCTGGAGGAGAAGCTGGACAAGAAGGAGGAGGTGGAGCCGCAGAAGAAAAAAGAGACGGAGAAGGGACTTTTCAAACTGAAGAAGGACAAAAAGGAGGAGAAGAGCACGAAGGAGAAAGGAGAGCAGGAGGAAAAGAAGGAGAAACAGGAGAAAACGGAAACCAAGGCAGAGGAAGGAGGGAAGCTACAGAAGATTCCCGACGAGAAGCAGAAGCAGAAAAATGACACAAGTATCAAAAGCAGCAAAGAGATTATAGCAGGAGAGTCTCAGAAAGGAACCAAGAGGGAGAAAGAAAGTGAGAACCGTCTGGCTGCTGAAAAAGACAAGAAACAGGAGAGTAAGCACGAAAAGGCCAAAGAAGACTCTGGAGCAAAGAGAATGGCTGTCTGGAAGGAGAAGGAGAACAATAAGAAGGAGAAGGAAGAAGCTCAGAGCAGATCAGGAGATTCAAAACAGGATGACCGGAGTTCAAAATCCCAGGCAGCGCGGGAGAAGAAGGAAAGCGAGAGGAAAAGAAGCAGCCGGGAGGAGGGAGGGGGGATAAAAATGGAGGGGAAACAAGAGCAGGGGGTGGAAGGTGAGCGTACGAGGAGGCACAGCAGCAGCAGGAGCAGCAAAGACGGAGAGAGAGGAGACAGAAATAAAGTGAGAGAGCCAGATGAGGAGAGGAAGAGCCGCCACAAAGACAGAGGGGACAGATCGGAGAGCTGGGGGAGAAAAGGAGAGGAGGAGAGGGGAGTAAAAGACTGGAGAGCAGAGATGGTGAGGAGCAGAGAGGAGAAACAAGGAAGCAAGGGGACAGACAGCGAGCATCAAGGAAGCACAAGGAGGAAGAAGGAGTCCCACCGGGGTCCCGAGGAGGCGACGAGGAGGGAGACGGACAGGGAATCGGAGAGGAGTCACCACAGGAGGGACGAGGAGCACAGGGAGAGGGAAGGGGGGAGACAGGGCAGCAGGGTGGAGAGCGCCAGGAGGGTGTTTGAGACAGCAGGAGGGGAGGAGGAGGAGAGGCCCGGGAGGAAGGGCAGCGACAGGGAGCACCGGCCCAGCCGGAGAGGATCCCGCCTCCAGTCAGACGCGCTCCGGGAGGAGGGCCTGAACATTTAGCCGAGGAGGCGCCTTCAGCACTGCCCGCCAGGCCCGACGGACTCCACCAGGAGCATCAGGTTTGGCAACAAACGCTCACTGATGTCTTTAGCCATCCGGTAGAGCTCATAAAGGGAGACATTTACACCAAAATATCTGCCGACATGTTGAAAACCATCTCAGTTTACGATCCACTGGCCCGGTTCATCTTCTCTGAGGAGGTTTATCTGAACACACAGAGCTCCTCATGAGGGGAGGGGCCCAAATAACCCCAATAATACAGCTCGTTAGGTCCATCCATCACAGAAAAGGCTGAGACGTAGTAAAATGAACACTAAATGTGCAACAGATAATAAGTCTTTCAGATGGTTTAATCCAAAGATTTTTAGCTCTTTTTTTTCTAATTTTTTATTTAAAACAGGTTAATTACATTTTTTATAGTTATCATTAAACTATCTAAAAGAGTAAACCAAATCTGCCTTAGGTTGACAGGGTAGAACAGAGACTGATTTAGAAATCTGCTCCTCTTACAAGTCACGTTCTTAAAGGCCTTTGCTGTATGAATTTTAAATAAATATTAAATACGATTGTCACCATCAGTAATAGATTAAGGAGTTCCTAAAGCTGTTTATTGTTTTTTATCAAAACAATAATTTTTCCGATTACTTTTTTGCCACAAAGCTGCTAAAAACTACAGGTTTATTTTCTGTGGAGTGCGGTTGACGCCATTCTAAACATAATGATGATTTTCATATTTTTACAGGCTCCTGCCTTTTAACCTCCATGTCTAAAAGCTCAGGCCGGGCCCCTGAAACGTGTCAGTCTGTTACTGGGCTGGGGTTTCTAAGGGCCTTTCTCTCTGGAAGCATCTTCTTGTTTTTCTTTGAAACGGTCCGTTTGAAGGGGCCGTTTTGTTTCCGGGTCGTCGTGCTGCCCGTCGGGACGTTTTCCAGTCGCACTTTAACCGCCGTCCCACGTCTGACGGGCAGCTTTTGTCTCGTCACTTCTGGTGTTTCTGATGCAGAATAATCAGATTTTTGTATGTGTTTTTGTGTTTTTTAAATGGGTGAACACTTATTTTCTACGGTGCTGGTTTTTTACTGAACAAATAAATTATTGAGAGTAAACAGAAACGTCTGGTTTAATGTCTATCCTCACCCACGACTTGAAAGTATACATGATGTTGTATGTTATTGAACACCAAACTAAATAAAAAGCTGCGTTTTGGACTTATTTTAAGCCTTAGCCCCTACAGACCTCTGGGGGGGCGGCAGGAGGTCATACAGCATGAATAATGGTGATAATAACGATGATGAAAATGTGTTATTCATCCCTCTTCGAGTGTTTAAGGACCTCGATTATCTTTTAAACATACTGTGAAACTTTTTAGTCGAACATAAAAAGGTAAAACACCCTCTAATATATTAACACTGTAATAAGCTGATTACTTAAAGCACTTTGAGAATCACTGAAGATCCAACTTAACCCTTTAAAGCCTGATCCAAGAATAAAACAAAACTGAAAATTACTTTTATTTTTTGTTTGAATTACTTATTTGGCCTTTTAACAAAATATGTAAAAAGAAAAAACGGAAATACATTTTTGATAATAATTTATTACTATGCGATAAGTCAAGATTATTTTTTGTGTAGTCTTCTGCCTCCTGTTATCAGGTATATCTGATTGTGTACAATAGGATTTTGAGCAAAGTTTTTACCATTAAATTATGCAAAAGGTGTCGGACGCAAAACATTTCAGAAACTGCATGTATCAAATATGATACATTTGGCATTACAGGCTTAACATGAGCTAAAACCAGTCGGAGTTTTACTGACTCACAGAAACTTAGTTTTTTCTGGTTATGAGAGTAAAACATTTTTCTGACACATGTGAGATACTTTATTAGAAAGATTAAGGTGTTTGATGTCTTTTAAAGCCAAAACATGAACCTGGTGAATAGATTTGAGTACAGTCAGATGAGAGAGATCTTGTGCACATGTGAGCTTTAAGAGAAAATGTTTGAGCTGTGAAGGCTGTTTGTTGTCTCTCTGACGTCAAAGTAGCCAGAAGAGCTCAAATAAAACTCCTTTCTTTTACCTGGAGCTGTATTTGCTTAAGGGGAAGCTGATTTGAATCCTTTCAATCTGAGCGCAGAGAGGTTTGGGCGAGTTTGTGGCCTGTGCTGCTGAACATGGAACACTGTGCATGAGGTTCTTTACAAGGGTTCAATAAAAAGTTTGGTCAGGCAAAGTGCCCTCGGGCTGAGAGGCTGCGTGCTTTCATACCTGTTCGGGTCACAGCGCATGACCGGCATCGGGTTAAAAGGAAAGTGAGTGAGAAATGTTTTCCGTCATGTTTATGGTTCGTGCTGATTCATATCTGGGACTGATGGCGTGCGTCATGACAGAAAGGCAGAAAAGCCGAGTTTTAGTCAGCTAAAGTCTGTAAAAGTGACTGATTTCAAACCGCAAACTGAACCACATCACAGCTTATCCAATCCCTCACTTTTTCAAGCACCTGTTTCCACAAAATCACCAAAAAACCACCATGTTTAGAGAGATGACTTGAAGTATCTGTTTGTGGTGGGTGTAGAGAAGAAAAGTCTGCTTTTGTTGTGACAGGGAAACCCACAAAAGTCATTATGCAAATGTAAGTGTAGAGGCAAATATCGGAGGAATGAAGATGCAAAAATGCACCGACTGTAAACTGACAAGGAAACGAAGCCATGCCAAAATGCGTCAATAACCCACTGGATCATTGTTCATTAATCATACAACTGTTTGAATTCAAATACAGAGCCAGCACAGGCTCAGAAAGCAGCCATTCAGGCCCCACCGCTGGTTTCTCAAAGTCCAGGCTGTTTTTTTCTCAGCAGGTTCCAGACTTTAAAAAAAAAAGAAAGAAATGCAGCCTAGTATCTGGATAAACCGGGTTTGATGGAAGAACTGAACCCTGTTGTGGAGTCTGTGGTTTCATCGTCCACGTCTCCGTGCCAAAAAGTGATAATGGCAACCAGGAATGTCTTCGGTGGGAATGTTCATAGTTTTCTGTGTTTGCTCTGCTGATCTTTATGGAAAAACACATGACTACCCGGGCACGGCTTATTTAAACTGTGTCAAAGGACTCGGACCCGAAGGCTTCAGGGCCCATGATAACATGTTCTACAATCTTTACTTAAGGTTTTACAATTTCAGGAAATGTAAATAAATCCCAACTGAATCAATGATGTATTTAGTCCTGAGACTCACTGGTGAGGAAGAATTTCTTTGGACGGAAGAATGTAAAGTGTTTTTCTCAGCCGAATATGTTTGTGTTTTAATGTTGTAGGTACAAAATGAGGAACGGTCTATGTAAAAACCCTCCTGATGAATGAGCTTCATGTTTCTGGCGTCTGCTTTCAGCCGCTGAACGCATGTGGAAGTGTCTGTGCACCCAACCGAAAAGCTCCCGTGGAAGTCAGAAAAGAGGATCCGGGTAGATCAACACCACGAAACGTTAGATGTGTCAAAACTCTGAGTGTGACAGTGGTCCACTCAGACCGGGGGACCAATCTCAACCAAGGAAACTAATGGCGGTGACATCTTTAATTACATTTTAAAAAAACAAAAACAAACAATAGCTCAAGTGAGAGCTTTCTCGTGAGCTCTGGTTTCTGGAGGGCCGTCCATTGATTCCCCATTGAGCTGAGTTTCCCCTGCTGACAGGGAAGCAAACGTCCTTTTATTAAACAATGCCAGGAATAACAAAAGATGCCAGAAACCCGGTGTGGGTGACAAGAGACAGGTTGTTTTGTTCTCTTGAAATTTAAAAAAAATAAATAGAAGATTAAAACTGGTTTCCGATCAGGACATGTGGCTTGATTTCGTGCCATTTCCTGCTCACTTGGTCTGTGCTGTGCTTTGGTTTCACGGTCCCCGAGAGGAATGCTGGATCACGATGTGCCTCAGCTAACACCTCCCGCCAATCCATCACATTCCTGATGCAGCACGTCAATAACTCTTTTTCTTGACAGTTTTGTCAATTCAGTTTTCAGAGCACATCTTCCTACCACAACATCTTTGTCTTTTCTCTTTGCTGAGCTTTAAAATGCCTGAAAACTTAGTGGTATTCAAACAAAGGTGTCTTCTCTCTCTATGCAGTTTGATCTAAAAGGTTTTCTTTTCAGCTCATTGTTACAAAACGTTTGGCTTTGGAAGGACTTAAATTGGCCTATTTGCTGATACTAACCTTGCGTAACCTCTTGGAAAAAGTGTTCCCTAGCAAGAAAAACTACTGCGAGGTATTTAGCCCCCCCCCCCAGCAGTGACTGGCCGAAACATCTCTGTTGATACAAACACAAAAGACGCACACGCCCATCAGCCACCGGTTAGTCAGACAGGTGTGAGAGGAGGCCCCGCCCCTCCCGGGATGCAGGTCCTGCATCACCGCTGTGCATGGGAACTGATATAACCCCCCCCTCTCCCCCCCGGCAGGGACCAGATCCTCACAGGAGCCCAGACGGCTGAACTTCAACACACATTCTCGCCTTCCTGAAACTCAGCTGAAGCCCCGCAGCAGCAGGTGAGTCTCTGGACGCTTCACCTGGACAGCTCAGAGACCTGGTCACTCTGCTCACGCTTTTTATTGGATGGCCGCTTTTTGGTTGAATTTAGAGAGCTTAAATATGAACACAAAACTGTATTCTGATAGTTTTTATACCATGGTTTAGATGAAAAATATTCAATTTGAATGGTTTTTGTTCAGTTTAATATGTTAAATAGGGGAATTACTCAACCCAATGTGTTTTTTAAAATAATTTTTTATTTAAAAAAGCTATATTTGTAACTAAGGAAGCCCACATTAGTGCAAAGTGTCAGAGATTTCCCATTTTTAACCTTTTTGTAAACAGCTAAGCCTCCCTGTTTAGTTCTTATCCATGCTTTCTGTGTAAATGTGTGTTATCCTAACAGAAATGGAGCAAGTTTGGATCCTTCTGCTCAGCTCAGTGATGCTCTTCATGGTTCCTGGTGTCCAGGCTCAGGTTGGTACACACTTCACCGGTCACCACATGCCACTGTGACCTTTGGACTGCGAAATATGGAGCGCCTTTATTTACCAGCCCCATTTTACATTTTTATCTTTCCTCAAATAGAGGCTGAAGCATTGATTCCCCTCTGGGCTGTTAGCATTTAGAAGAGGAAATACTCGTGTTTTATGGAACTAAACTGAAAAAACTATTCTTATGGGGAATCCTGTTCTTATGTTTTTCAAAACTAATCGCTGAGTTTTGAACGTTTTCGTGAGGAAACTTGAATCATTTTTATCTGATGCAGATTTTTAGATGGTAGAAAGTTGTGCTGCTTGTTCTAAAAAACTGCAATGCAGAAAATGAGTAAAGGCTGTTTTTCTTTTTTCTTGATTGATTTTAATAAATGCTTTCAAATGGGTGCTGTTTGGCTGCCTGCCTCTAGGCCTTAATTTCTCATGTAAGAGCCACACCCTTCCCATTTGCAGGACGATAAAGTTTCAGTTTAGCGTGTTTTTATTCACTGAGATGCAAATTGAGTTTTAGAAATGCACCTTTCATGGCCTTCCAATGGTTTCATCTTGGTCAAGTTGCTATGGAAAAAACCCACTTATTTCAAATCATAAGGGCAAAAAGAACAAGATTTTTCCTCAAAGGTTTCACTGGAAACCTTTTTGTGGGTTACTTCCACACAAATTATGCAGACAAAAGCAAGTGATTTAGTCAGAAATATTGGAATAAAGCTATAAAGATGTTGTCCGGGTTGTAAGTGATGGTTTTGTGGGGGCTTCAAAGTAACCAGGATTAACCTGAGTAGTAATTCATTTACAGCGTTTCAGGTGTCATTTAAACACAACCAGCTATAAAACCGAACACATCCTCTTGTTCGGGTTGTTTAAACAAACCGAAAACTGGAAACCATCCCAAACCCCTGCTGAGCCCTCACGTTTAAAACTCATATCAGGGAAAGCGAACCCGGGATGTGAAGCTGAGTGACTTTTGGTGTGTTTGTTGGTCTTTGTGTTGCAGGTGAGCGTGAACAGGACGGGCTGTGGGCTCACTAAGCTGTGCCTGGAGACACCGGATGACTGCGACCCCTCCGGGAACAGCAGCTGTCTGTTTGGATCCGTGGCGGCGGGCCCCCACATGCCCCCCAACGGGGTCAACTTGTCCTTTGAACTCAGCGGACAGTCATTCGGCTACGTCGCGCTGGGCCTCACCGTCAACGCAACCGTGGTACGCACAACCCCCCCCCCGAAAGGCCGCACAGTTTTAGATTGAGCTGAAATTAACTGATTAAACTCAGAGTTGGATGTTTTTTTAATATATACACCAAAATGGTGTTTTTTGGCTTGAATCTTGTCTTTATGACAACCAGATATTTGACTATTAAATAACTTATTTTTATTTAACTAAACTACATATAACTAAACCAGTTTAAACCATGATGGTAGGGAAAAAAACTAGATAAATACAAAAAGATAAATAAATACATAAATAAACTGCTTAAGCATAAGAGTCAGGAAGTCCATCTTTTTCTTTTTGCCCAAAATCAATGAGCTCAGGTGTTTTTAACGGGATAAAGATGACTTCAGCCGAGTTCCTTCGGCCACTTTTGCTCCATCATTCACGTTGGACTTCGCTAACAATGGGGGATTAGCTCTGATGGACGTCCTCAGGATGACCAAACCAGATTGGCTTGGTTATCCAGAGGGTAAATGTTTAGCTGCGGCCAGTCAATCATCCACAGCTTTGCCACACACGTAAATATTTGCATCCCATGTCAGAGAAGCTTTAGTATCCTCCAGTTTAATCATTAATGCTAAACCAGCAACTCTTTTTTTTTATTACTGCACCAGAAAAATGGGCAAATTTGTGAATTGAATTTCACAAAATTATCTCAAATTTCAAATTTGTGAGTGTGTGTGTGTGTTTGTATAGAAAATGAATGGATGCCTTTGTTCTCATGCAGACTTTAAGTAGCAGAGAAGAAAAACTCCTTTTGTAAATAAATGTTCAGCCACTTGCTGCGTCAAAGAAAACTTTGTTTACAGTAACATTAAAAAAAAACAAAGGTGCAGCATGAGGACAGAAAATCATTTCCACTGAAGAACAGTAAAAAGCTGCTTGAGCGGCTAAACTGGAAATTAAATCTCCAGACTTTTGCAAAATGTTTTTTTTGGCTCGTGATGACGATTTTTTCTATCCTGTTAAGCAAATTCTAAAAGCTGCTGAACCTGAATCCTAAAGCTTCAAAAAGTGACACTTGAAGCTTCAAAGAAGAAAATGATGCGTCGGGGGTAAAAAAAGGAAGTCATGCAGGGCTGTGCGGACTCATGGTCAGTGTAGAGGAGCTGCTCTGCTCTGTGATGCTGAACTTGACCCTCTGGGCCTCTCTGTCCGCAGGGCTCCACCAGGTTCTTCATCTGTGGAAAGAGAAACGAGACCTTCTTCTTCCGCACCATGAGCAGAAACAACACCAACGAAATGCTGACAGCAGAGATCACGGTGAGCCCAGTGGAGCTGTTCAGAAACAGCCCTCACTCTAATCCACCGCTCGCCCGGCTCTGGACCTGCTCTGGACCCCTGACCCCTGACCCCTGACCCCTGACCGCTGATGCCCTGTGCTCTCTCTGGTCCGTCAGACCGCCGTGGACGTGCAGGGCGCCCTGAGTGGAGACGTGATCCGCTGCCTGTTCACCGTGGGCGGGTTGAACGCCACCGCCCTGCGGAGCTCCCACAGCACCACCTTCTCCGTCCTCCTGGGACGCGGAAACGTGACTGACGGTCAGATTTGGGCGCTGCTTTTTTACCCAGTTTTGCCGCCGTTTTACATTCCATGACATAAAATGTCAGAAAAAGGTCCCGTTTTTAGCTTCATGTTTGTTAGTTTTTCAAGTATCTGGAGCTGAAGGCCACTGGGTTAGGGTTAGGGTTAGCCCTCAGGTCTTGCCCTGCTCTTAATCTGAAGGCTTTATTCCTCAGGTGGCGTTGGGCCCCTCACGGTGGTCCTGAGCAGCGACCCCCTGGACCTCACCAACCCCGGCAGCAACGTCAACACAACGGCCACGCCGCCCACCACGTCAGGGGCCGGGGGGGCCCCCCACGCCCACGGTGAGCATCCGCCTGCCATGTCTGGTCGTTAAACTCTAAAATGAGCCATAAACGATTTCAAAAGAGCCATAAAGTGAACATCAGAGAGGGAAATGTTTCAGTGAATCAACAGACAAGCGACCAGTTCAGCATCTGAGAATAACTCACCTCTATCTGTCTTCACCTTCTTTTGGAGTTTGAAACTCTGCAAGAATTGACCCTACACACAAATATAGAAGGCAGAGATAAAAAAAAAACAGTTTATCCTTCAATCAATATTAAATATATATACAAAATATACAAAATTACACACAACAGCTTCTATTAACAACAATGAACATCATCAAACTGTGAGTAACTGTGTCGTAACTGTGTTTTAGCTGGAACAATGCACACATTCACACGCACAACCCGGTAGCAAACATACAAATCATGAACTGGAGTTCTGTTTCCTTAATATTTTGAATTTCTTCAACTAGAAATAAACAAATTTGAATAGACCAAAGTTGATCTCAAAGATTAATATTCAAACGAACATGGAATAAAACCAGTGAAAAGTTATTTAAACTTGTAGGTTTGTATCATAAATGGCACATCTTAGTGCCTCAAACAAATGTTAGATGATAAAGAAATAAAAAAACAACAACACACCACTAGAATTTGGAAATATCCACCCTTTTTTTCAGACATTTGAGGAGCTTTCCGTTTTCAGTCGCATAACTAGATCTTATTAAAACCCCAAAACATAAACAGAACTAAAACCAGCATGACCGGCATGAGCCACAGTTCCCAGAAAGTGAGGACACGGCAGCTTTGTTTCCGGTCGGGACGACTCTGAGGAATCAAATGTAAAGTGTGAAGCTTCTGTGGGTGATTTCTGATGAAAACCTTCTCTGGTGTCTCCCCTAACAGCCGGGCTGCTGCTGTTGTTGGGGTTTCTGGCCCTGGGCCTGCTCCCCACCCTCTGAGAGGATCCTGACCCGAGGCTGTGACCCGGCCGAGATGCTCCCCAGGCCGCTGTTTCTACACATCAGGGGAAAAACTGAGTGTCAAACTATTTATAGTCTCTCTTTTTTTTTATCGTACTTGATCAATTTGGGTTGTGCAGTGTGCTTGTGCGTCGTAAATACTCAGGGCCGATGAGCTTCAGACCGAAAAATATAAGGTCTGCCTTTCCTAGTGGAGTGGGACTGGTTTGTGTACGGTTAGGCCTCCTCTGGCCTGTGAACAGCTCGGAGGAGGATGTTTTTGTGTGTTTGGTGGTAAAAAACCACCCCCTCAGTTCCCGGCACAGCCAGCAGAACCTGGCCATCTGGTAACTCCCGGGGAGGGCGTGTCTCACAGCTCCATGCTGATTTGATAAAAGCTAATCAAGTTGTTTTTTTTTTTTTTTAATAACTTTTTTAATCTCTTCCTGCTTCCAGAATCCATAATGTGGCAGAACAGACTATTCGCTGATTCACATTAAGGACCAGCAGTCTGAAATGATGCCCATTTCTATTCAAGCAGACCAAATTCCGTCCATTTATTTGAGCCAATTTGATTTTTGGATGAGAATGTCCGATTTCCATATGTAAAAAAATTATTCTTGGAGACTTTAAGTGTCCAATGCAGTTTGTTTTAATCGTGCACAGATAGATTTATATATGTTGATTATGTTTGTTTTTGAAAAACTGACTTCTTTTATGTGCAACCGCTAATCCCAATGCATTAAATGTATTATTCAAACCACACAGGGGCTGAATTCTGTCTCATTTTCATATCGTTTAGGCCAGCAGTAAACCAGACGTTTACTCATCCTGCCCAAACATGGCACCCTGCTCCGGGTTTAGGTTTTGGCTCGGTTTGCGTGTTTCTGCTCGGCCTGAGGGGCCGACCGGGTAATTAATGAGTTATTACCACAGACTATAGGTCAAGCTGTCAGAGCTCAGGTTAAACTTATTTATTCTGCAGCAGGCCGAACGAGCTCAGCTGTGTACAGACCCCCCCCGCCCCCCCGACCTGATCTCCCAGACGCTTTTAAACTGATCAACTCACCTCCAAACCGGCCCAAAAAACAAACGCCGGTAAAACTTTGTTGGATTTTAATATTTTATTGCAATTTATTTCTTTACAGTTAAACTGAGAGGTATATAAAAAAAAAAACAACCCGACTAACATACGGACACAGAAAAGGTCAAAGAGAAAAAAAAAAGGAAGAAACAAAAAAAACACACACGGAAGCTAAAAACTGTCCTTTAGTGGCTGGATCTCTGTCCTCGTGTCCGTCGAGCGGTCGTCTCTGAGAACATCAGGACAGACCCGGCCGCCTTCCTCCTGCTGACCCGCCGCCATCGAGTCCCGTTACGGCGATGCTGGACGACCACGAGGGAGAGGGCGGGGGGGGTGTGTGTGTGTGTGACAGAGGGCGCGCCATGCTTGTGTTTGTACGTTTGACTTTCTATCTACAACATGAGGGTTTAAAAGAGGAGTCCGAGCTCCGGAGGGGGGGGGGGGGGGGGGGGGGG